AGCATTGTTTACCTGCGGATATGCTTTGTTTAATCATGATGAAATTGCGATGTTGTTCCCGCCTTCCGACATCAGCCTTGCCAATACGAATCTGACACTTGCCAATATACCTTACGTCACTTCCGCCGAGCGTCTTCACCGGAACGGGTTGAAATCATTCTGTGCACAGGTAGAAACTTACAGTGCGTGTGTGAGGAACAATTTATTCCACTTTCCTGTTGATGAGCTTGTTAAACGCTACATGGATTTGAATAACTTGGACATGTATTTTAAATTCTTTTGTAGAAACAGGAAACTTATTGCTGATCAATTTCTGTGTACTACGTTATCAGTTTTGGGACGACGTTGTCCGTTTGGTGGTGTTTACGGAATTATTGCGCAAGTGTCCAAAATGATCCGATTCCCAACAAGTAGGAAGGAGTTTTGTGCCATTATCCAACAAAACATGAATTGCAGAGTAAATCTGCAGCTTGCACCATGTCATAGACAATATGCAGATGTAATGGAATTTTTATACAGAGGACTTGTCAGCAACTACTGCCATTAACTAATTTGTCAACATCTATTGTCATTAACTTATCGGCATTTACTGCAATGAACATGTCAGCAGCTACTGTCATTAACTTGTTAGGAACTACTGCCATTAACTAATTTGTCAGCATCTATTGTCATTAACTTGTCAACAACTTCTGCCATTACCTTGTCAGCAGCTACTGATATTTACTTGTCAGGAACTATTGCCATTGATAGGTCAGCAATTAATGCGCTATTGACTTGTCAGCGGCGTCTGTTATTAACTAGTTAGGAACTACTTCCATTAATTTGTCAGCAACTTCTGCCATTGATAGGTCAACAATGGATGCACTTAACTTGTCAGCAACTTCTGTTATTAACTTGTTAGGAACTACAACTTGTCAGCAGCTATTTCCATTAATAGTCAGCCAATTACTGCCATCAACTTGTCAGCAACTACTGTTATTAACTTGCTAGGAACTACATCCTTAAAGTTGTCAGCCGCTACTGTTATAAACTTGTTCGGAACTACTTCCGTTAAATTGTCAGCAGCTACTGTTATAAACTTGTTCGGAACTACTTCCGTTAAATTGTCAGCAGCTACTGTTATAAACTTGTTCGGAACTACTTCCGTTAAATTGTCAGCAGCTACTGTTATAAACTTGTTCGGAACTACTTCCGTTTAATTGTCAGCAGCTACTTTTATTACCTTGTTAGGAACTACTTCTATTATCTTTTATTGTAAGCAACTATTGTTATTTACTTATGGGCGGCAACTATTACCATTAAAGACATGAAAAATACGCATGTAAAACATGCCAATTTTATAATATCGAGTGATTTTGTCATAATAAATATGATTCTATTCATCTTTTTAAAAGATTCCTGAGAATTATTTTTGAAATTATTTTTGTCACTTGGGAAGGCGCCTCCTCTGTGACCGTGCGTTATGTATTAAGATTTTTAGAAGCACGTCATCTGCCATCCATCGATATCGATAGGGGATGTGTATATCATATAAATAATATTTATTTTTACATTGATTTACAATAAACAACGCTTTCAACCATAGGCATAGTAGCATCAGTCTCTTTGTTATAACTAGTGCTATTTTTTAATATATTTTGCAGTTGTATTAACTTTATGTGTTCGTGTCACATACAAGGAGGTAATTCATGAACATTTGTGCGCTAATATTTCACTGACATGTCATATAACATGCTTGTTTTCCATGTAATATAACCAGTATGTATTTTTTTGTTACACACGTGTATTAATATAACATCGTCGAGCATTAGCAGCGCGTAGTCAAACGTCAAAACATGAATCTCGTGCGTTTGGTGGTGTGATAAAAAAAGAAATAATATCATAGTCAATGTCATATCATAATAAATATTTTATGAATTTTAGTAAAAGCTTGCAACAGGTCCGCTTAAATACAGTTTCCTAATCTTGTTTGATAAAATATTATATTATATTGATAAATCTAAGATCTACAATTAGATTATGTATGTTAGACATATGTAATAATGTGTAATAATATTGTTTTTAATTAAATTTTGAAGAAGAAAAAAAAACAACAATCCGTTCTTTATAAGGTTATCATTTCTAGTTTTATTTTTAAGATGATATATTTAATGCAGGCGGCAAAAATGTTGTAATGTTCTTTTGACATATTTTTCGTATTTTTACTTCCGACTAATTCGTTTTCTGTAGATCAAAATTAAAACGTTCAACATTTTCTCTGTGCTAAGGCTGTAATTATTGTTCACAATTTCATTTTAATGGTATTTTAACGTTAAATTTATTGAAATGTAAAATAAACATTAAAAACTAACCTACTTGACGTTTTTGTACTTAATAATCATTATATCTATGACACAAAATCTAAAATGCGAAATATTTCTAAAGGGTGTTCATTTCCAGTTTAACAGTATGACAATATTCAAAATTAAATATGTTTTCACTTGTCGTTGTGGGTTCGAATTGCACCAGGGACTATGAATTGGTTTATTATGTATTTTTAACTCCGCCAGTAAAGATGTAAAATCGTTATATGGCATTAAAAAGTGCCGAGAAGACATGAAACCTAACCAATTATGGGAGATCTGTGGTTTTACTCTGACACCCACTTGTAGTTGTAATAAGGCAGGTTAGAGAGGACTCCAACTCTTCCTAGCCTGGCATAAAAAAACAAGACGACATGTTCATCAAATTTACATCGCTGACTTGCTGCAAAACCTGAGTATCGCTCAAACCGGTGCTGGGGGGGGGGGGGGCTTGCTGGATGTTGCGCTTTTTCATTATCCCTCATGTACAGAATCAATCAAACCGAGTCTGAAATTTTCATGTAATTTTGTTGTGGTTATGCTTCTAAGGGATCACAACATATTCTCAAGATTTTTAGTATATACGTTTTTTTCAATGACATTGCCTGTTACACCAATCGCCATATTTAATATACAAAATGTTTTTAACATTGCTAGGATAAGATGATGTAAGTTTATTTAATTTGATGTAAGTTAAACACGTCCAAATTCTCCCGCAAAATCATCGATTACACACGATTCCTCACCCCACCCCCCCCCCCCCCCCCCCCCCCCTTGATATCGAGATGTCATTGTCTGGGATGGATGACGTTTGCGAGACAGAAATTTTAGTGTGAACAAGTCGCCTTATCTTACATACACAATCATCATATTATATTGATCACTAATTAAAATTAATGTTCGTGAAGTTGGCAGCCTAGCAGCCTAGCAGCCTAGCAGCCTGAAGTTGGCAGCCTAGCAGCCTAGCAGCCTGGCAGCCTGAAGTTGGCAGCCTAGCAGCCTAGCAGCCTAGCAGCCTGGCAGCCTAGCAGCCTAGCAGCCTAGCAGCCTAAATAAAACTAAGAATAGTACAAACATGAAAACCGTCGGAAATACATTAGCAGCACTTCTTTAGATCATTCCACGCCTTTTTCAATATCGTGATCTTTATTTTTTAAGATGTTGAACTTTATCGTAACATATTTTTTTCATTCTGACGCTTCGAAATTTGAAGTTAGCAGCCTAACCGCCTGGCAGCCTAGCAACCTAGCAGCCTGGCAGCCTAACAGCCTAAAGAAAAGTACGGATAATTCAAACATGAAAACCGACGGAAATGAGTCGGTAGCACATAGAATGAAAAAAATATGTTACGATAAAGTTCAACATCTTAAAAAATAAAGATCACGATATTGAAAAGGCGTGGAATGATCTAAAGAAGTGCTGCTAATGTATTTCCGACGGTTTTCATGTGTGTACTATTCTTAGTTTTATTTAGGCTGCCAGGCTGCTAGGCTGCTCAAATTTCGAAGAGTAAAATAAAAAAAAAAGGAAAGTTCAATATTTAAAAAAATTAAGTTGGCGATACTGAAAAAAGACGTGGAATAGTCTAAGTATGTGCTACCGACTCATTTCCGTCGGTTTTCATGTTTGTATTATCCGTAGTTTTCTTTAGGCTGCCAGGCTGCCAGGCTGCTAGGCTGCTAGGCTGCCAGGCTGCTAGGCTGCCAGGCTGCTAGGCTGCCAGGCTGCTAGGCTGATAGCTTCACAAATTTCGAAGAGTAAAGAAAAAAAGCAAAGTTCAATATTTTAAAAAAGATAGTTGGCGATACTGAAAAAAAAGACGTGGAATAGTCTAAGTATGTGCTACCGACTCATTTCCGTCGGTTTCATGTTTGAATTATCCGTACTTTTCTTTAGGCTGTTAGGCTGCCAGGCTGCTAGGCTGCTAGGCTGCTAGGCTGCCAGGCTGCTAGGCTGCTAGGCTGCCAACTTCAGGCTGCTAGGCTGCTAGGCTGCTAGGCTGCCAACTTCACGAACATTTAAAATTAATGTTTAATTTTTAACAAAAAATAGCCTACTTAACGTTCAAGCTATAATAAACAATTCAAATATCTAGTATTTATAAAGTCCACGAAGAAACGGTGGCTATCAAAATTGATTAAAGTGTTTGTTATAATTTATGGTGTCCGTAAATCATATATTTAAAATCTACAAAATCCTATGTTACCATCACAAAATGGGTCCATATTTTACAATAGCTGTCCGCCGAACAATACCTCTTTTATTCAAAACTACCTAACGTGGAAATAGAGATTGTCACATCTCATTTCTTCTTTACTTTCATCTTTTTTATCCATTTAATATTTTCGTCACGAGTCATTCATATTAATTTACGATTTGTTTAGATTGAAAACCTGATAATACCCTAATCATACATTCAAAACGAGGCTCGAATTCATGCGTTTCAAAATTCAATTTCTTTGTAATTTTTTTCTTATTGACAAGACTTACTGACGTTGATGTGTTTATTACAAGTATTGGGGGATTTTTTATATTTTTTTTTTAATTTAGAAAATCACCGAGGTATAATATACGATTAATGCATTTCGCCGCCGAACGGTTTTTCTTTTAACTTTATATATATTATAAATATCCATATTAAAGATAAATTTTACAGTTGAATTTCGGTAGTCATGCGAAGGAATTAGTAATATTTTTTTTTGAATTAGTTTAATGTTCTTGATGGCTCCTACTTTTTAGGACTTATTACCAATTCTAGAAAAGACGATTAATAACTTTGGATTTCCAAAGAAGTTTATTGTGCATGTAAGTTTGTTTCTCGCTCTTATATATTTCTTTAAAAAAACATGAAACATCAATAAAAGATCTGTTCTCCTGATTTAAACTCATAACAATATATATATATATAATAAATTAATAAATGTTATTATTATTTTCTTTTGTAAATGTTATTATTATTTTCTTTTGTGTGTATTTATATATTATATATATAAATACACAAAAAAATTAATAATAACATTTTTTTATCAAAACTGTGTACTCTTAAAAAAACTCTTTATATGTTTATCAAAAGAGAGAGAGTGTTTTGATTGGATTGGAAACTTGAAAACATTTGATAAAACTGAGAGAAATGTTTCATGTTTTTATACAAAAATTTGCGTTGCTTTATTGCATGTATTGTAATAGAACATTTATAAAAAGTTTGTATTTCACTTAAGTGTTTTTGACTTATCAGTTGTGAAGATATTAATACTTACTCTCTTTTTTTGTAAAAAATATAATTTTCTTTTATATTCATTTAATAATTTTATATTTATTGTTTTGTTGATTTATTTATTTATTTATTTATTTTTTATTTATTTATTTATTTATTTTTGTATTTATTTATCTATTTATTTATTTTTATTTATTTATTTATTTTTGTATTTATTTATTTATCTTTTTTCTATTTTAAGAACTATATATATATAGTGCTGAATCATTTGTTTCAAAAGTGTTCAAAAATGATTTGATTTTATTTCTTTGAATTTATTTCAAAAGATTCTTTACCCGTTTCTGATTGTATTTTTACATAAAACTAAATAAATAAGTGAACTAATCATTCAAATTTCGAACGCGGAAAGGTGCGTGGTAATAAGGAAAATTTGTTCTTGAATGGGAAACAAATACATTCATTTTCAGACGGGAAATGGGTCCCAATATAACAAAAAATAATGATATATAAAAAAATATAAAAAATAAATAAAATTCAAAAAAAGGAATACAAAAATAATAATAATAAAACATGAATCTGGAAGCATAAATATATTATTTTATTTGTTCTCATTTCAATAATTGCAAATTAACTGACATAGGATACGGTGTGGCTATATATAGACGAGGATTTGTTTACAATGACGCCTAATTTATCCGAGGCACTAGTTATCCTGGTGTTATTTTATGCTGTCACCGGAATAGACGCTGCAACGTTCTTCACCCATGACGGCGGCGCCACCTCTGTGACCATTGGCGACGATATATCGGAAAGGGTAACATTGAGCCCAGCGATAACTATCAAAGGGACGCAGTTTACAGAAATATTTGTAAGTCAAATGTATCTTTATTCCTAATGTTTTTGGCGGATAATTTTTGTTTGTGTTTGACCTTAGGATTCTAAAGACTTCCCTGTAGTTTTGTGTATGCCTGAATTTAGAAGAAAGTATTCAAGCATGTCACAAGAGAAAATGCGGAAAATGAAAATATGCATTTTATTTCATCGGTATATCTCAATATTTCATTTATAAGTATATAATAAATAGAGGATATATTGAATGAGTGTAGTTAATTTTTGTATGAATTTCAATTAAAATATCAAACAAACCCTACGATACACAGCATTTTAAATATCTTTAAAAGTTAAAATAAAAATAAATATAACTGATTCTAACTTGCATTTTGACTGAATAAATTAAATAAAACCAGGTGAAAAAATATGAATTTTTGAAAGTTTTTTTTTCTAACCTTTTTTATTAACTAATAGTCCTGAATGATAATGATACAAGCACGAAGAAAAATAAAACATTAGAATTAAACCTAATTTTGTAAACTGTTTCTTATTCAATGAAATTTTATGTTCCATCAGTGAAACATCAGGCTTTGATAGTCAGAAAATATATTTAAGAAAGTGTATTCATTGATTTTTCTCTGTTTTCATTTGCAAATTGGTTTATGTAAAAACACTAAATTTTATGCAGTATTTGTACTGATGAAAGTTAATGATATTTTGACGGTTATACGCATACATGTATATGATAGAGAGAGTTTAACTTAATACTTAAAGCTGTAAGTCTCCAGATGAGGCAAGAAAACTTGAAAATAATATATTAAGGGATAAGCTAAAATTATTTTTGATGGTTAATTATAAATTTATATGCTTTTCTATAGAATGGTATAAATGCTATCTTAGACACATGTACATGTATTTCAAAATTAAAAGTATGGTTTAGTCACCCTTTCAGCTGCTGGGCATTTAATCCTTACCCCAATTAATATTATAAAATTATGGACTTCAATTTAGGCAAAATCATTCAAAATCTTTTAGATTTCAAAATGTTTTAAAGGATAATTACTCTGGCTCTGATCTTTACTGGTTGCATGATAGAATGTGTGACACTATTAGCATGTTTAGAGTTTAAGCTGTAACATTTGAAAAATATTTGTTTGGAAATATGACAGTGACACCATAACAACTGTGAATACAAGGTCCTCATAATGTGTCTCGACTTAAAGCTACCGTCTCACTTTTCAGACATCCCGGCAGAGCCCCGGTAGACGTTCGGTGTGATCCGGGGCTCTACTGGGAACAATTGGGGTACATCTGTAACTCTGTTGGCAATGTTTGGTATGATCCAGGAACATCCGGGATTGACCCTGTGTGGAATAAAATATTTAATATCACCAGGGTGGTCTGGGATGATCCGGGAAGTATAGCTTTGCAGGCTTCATCCTAAGCTCTGCTAGGAACGACCAGGGTTACACTGGTGAAGCACCGTAGCTCTGCTGGCACAAAACAGGGATGATCCTGGGTATGGTATAGCCAGTAGAGCTACGGTAGAGCCCCGGTGATTGCTGGCAGAGCCCCGGTAAATGCTGGCAGAGCCCCGGTAAATGCCGGCAGAGCCCCGTAGGATGACGATGGAGCTACAGTTGATCCAAGTAGAGCCCTGGCAAAGCCTTGTTCATTTCAAAAGAATCACGACAATTTGCGATGATTGCACTTGTTTGTATTAAAACCCTTCCCATTTCTCTTCTATCCAGTATTGCATAAGAATTTTTCAGAAAATCATCATGAATTACTGTTCTGGAACAATAGATATTTTATTAAATAAAAATTATGTATCAATCAGTTATCATTTTCGCGCATGTTCAATCTACCAGGGGTCTGCCTGGATTGACCGGGAAAGTACCTGCATTAACTGAAGCTTCACGTGGGCTCTGCCTGGATGGTCCGGAACTCATCCTGGTTGGTTAGTTGGGAATTACTGTAGTGCTGCCAGGTTTAGCGTGACCGCAACAATAATTTCACCACTGATTGTCCCGGATCATCCATGTAACTTACCGGGTTGGTACTAGGCTCTGCCAGGAGTAAGTGAGACCACAGCTTAAAATTGATGGGTGCTGATAAATCAATTTCTACTTGTTATACCTTTCAATTTCAGTTATAATATCAATTACATGTACTTTGTCCTTCTAGGAAGTTCATAAAATCTTAGAATACCTTTAAATTACCTCAGCCCACTAACCAGTTCACATTAAATTTGCAGATTTTGGTTGGTAATATTGTCCAACAATATTGTCCTTGATCTTCATTAACTTTCATAAAGGTCATTGAATAAACACTTGTATCAAACAAATATATTGATATATTTGTTATCTTCACATGTCAGTAAGGTGAGGTATATTTGTATAGATGCCGAGCTACTGATCTGAAGGTCTCTGGTTTGATTCCTAACAAACACTGCGTTATGAAGTCACACTTCTTGTTTTTTGTTGTTTTTTTTACATAATTATTGCAAGAATTGAATTAATTTGAAATTCTTTTAATATATCTACTTTTATGATAACTTTTGAGTAGTGTGGTGTTCCTTTTGTTTAATCAAGATGTTTTTGTAAGTACTCAGACATACGGACGTTGGACAATCGCACGTTTTTCTCTAGAACGCGAATTTTTCAATGGTTTCATTATGGTGACATTATGCAAACATATATTGTTTAGCGCATACACACTACAGATGTAGTTAATATAAAAGTACACAGATAGTATACACAATAAAAATGATTTGCACGAATTATTAGAGATGGGCAATTTTAAAATTAAAAGAAACAAAAAGGGCTGAACCAGGATTCGAACCTACGAGTTTATAATGTCTATAATTATTGTCATAAGGCAATGTCTTAATTAATGGTTGCGCTATGAGGGATTCTTAATTAAGACCATTTAACAACTGGTTATATTATTAGTTATAAAAATTGTTGACAGGTTATATGGCCCTATATAAACCGCTATTTGTAAATTTAACCAGTGAGACGCTAGGCGAAGGTTATATTGCAAACAGCCATTTATATACTGCCATATTACCTGTCAACAATCTTTATAATGAATTTATAATACAGCAAGCATTATTTTTTAGAGAAAAAAGAACAGCAGCCATGTATATAAAACTATATAAACGTCACGATTATCCAATGAAAAGCGACGTTACAAACGTGCAGTATTATAAACATTCATAAAGATTTAAAAGTAGATCAAAAGTTTACCGAATTTACTGGCTATAGGGTCAAATGAAGAGTGCATGGTCAATATTGTTGGAAAAAAACATACCCCTGTCTGTCTGTTAGTGAACAATTTGTTTATAAAAATAAACTGCTGAATGTCTGTAATGGATTTGCCCTGCTTTGTATTTGGAAAAGTCAATCAAATCAATCAATCAATCAATATACAGGTACTAAAATTGAGCTGTCCACAGTACAGAACCTGAACTGAGTGCACAGGTGTTCAGGCTGGCCTGGATCTATACTTGTGGCAAGAACTGATCATTTTCTGTTCCAACATGTCAAGGGTTAAAGACTTCATAGATTGTCATAACAAACTAATTACGGAATTAAAACTGGATGTTTATAATATTTAAACATGGTCCTCTTCAAATTTGGTCTTACCCTGAATTTGTGATATAGAGTTTAATATGGACTTCTTTTAGGCAAATTCTACATTGTATGTGGAAAGAAGCTTTTAAAAGGCTTCATATTATAAACTCTTAAGCTATGTTTTTGCTATTTCCATGTTTCAAGGCAGTGTCATTCTATGGTTCCTTTTTAAGTATGTCATTTGCTTCAATGGTTTGTTTGGGGATTTTACAAATGGTCTTGGTTCCTGCCACTTTGTCCATTCCCTTCTCAGTTTTTCCTCATTGTATTTCAAAGTGTGTCTTTAGTCTGTACAGTTGGAGATTACACCTCCAACTCCCTCCCTTCATTTTGGTCCGATATCCCCTTCCGTACTTTTATCTTTAATTATACCTTTATGATATACTATAGTAGTTTTCTAAGCCATTCACAATAATAATATGGTTTTTGAGAATGTAAGATGCTTGTACCATGAAGAAAATGGTGACAAATGTAATATATTTTGTCATAAAAGTAGCAAAATGTAATCAAAGCACTGGCAGTATTAACTTCCACAAAGAATACTAATTCACTGTAACTGTACTAATCTTGCAATATGGCAAAAGATGAAAAAGATTGTTAAGGTAATTTGCAATGAGTTTCTTGATAAGAACACTAAAATTTTGAAGCTTTTGAGAAATAAAAATAAGAGCATTTCTGAAGCGTTATGGGTCTGAGCTAGGTGGCCTTGACATACTTTCCATGAACAGACTTTGTGCCTGCAACAATTAAAGTTTTGAAACGTGTCTGCCCGGTAAAAAATAAGTGTGGCGCTAATTTTCAATCCATAAGGGGCTAAATCTGTCCACCTTGTCATTTTATAAACTGTATGTGTTATTGGGGTAGGTGGGGGGGGGGGGGGGAATATGGACATTTGTCCTTCAATATCTGTACTGAATATCAAACATAATTGGTGATTGTGGCAGTGGATCTTTTTCATTTATTGGAATAAATTTATGAAATTGAACTATACTGTAATATACATTTATATATATATTATGAAGATAATAATTATGTGATAATATAAAATCACAATTTAGTTGGGTTTTTTACCAATATTTAAGGTTTATTTAGATATATCAAAACAAAAAATGTTCTCTGCTGTCTTTATATCCACCTTTTCATGTGATGATTCAAATAAGACAAACAGAATGCTAATTTACTTCCATTGCACTATCAGAATTTTCAGCGCAAAAAGGTTGTAACTTGAGATACAACCATTTTGCGCTGAAATTTAAGAGCAATTTGAGATACAACCTTTTGACAAATATTGATTTAACTTGTTAATTTTCAGAATCCATTTAAAATACTTACTGAGGATATGCATAACCACAAAATACATTGAAAATGTTAAAAATGTTATTTTGTGGAAAAAAGTGAGTTACAACCGTTTTGCGCTAAGCCCACGTAATGTTAGTACTTATAACAATTATAAAGATACATGTTATAATATAATAATAATAACAGTGTGTTAACAAAAATGATAATAGAATATAGATAATGCGAAATACTACATGTATAAAAAGATTGCATTGGTGAAGAAAAAAAAGATCAAATGTAATGTTAAAGTGACATTATGCCCATACAAGGGTATTTAGTGAGTTAAAGGGTAAAGATCTAAATAAGTTTTCATTTTGCCATAATTCCTTTCAATTTAATAATATAGATCGCATGAACAATAAATAACACACAGATCCAAATGAAATTTCTATAAATATCCATTATCATTAACCTATAACGCTTAGTTTATAAAAAGAGTGGGGCGGTCTTTTTAAATTTTAGGCAGATTTATAATTTTATGCTAAACATTTTCAAACATCAACTGTTGGTCAAACACCATTTTGACAGTCAATCTTTTGAAATATAAAGTCAATATAGCTCAACTTGACAATGAAAATATGAGCATTATGCCACTTTAAAATCTTAACAATTAATGATAAAATTAATACAATGTGGAACAAAGTGAAATCTAAACAAAGATAAATGAGAACAAAGTTAAAGGAACTCCATCGAGGTCCGAAAGCCTAAAAACAAAAAAAAAATATAGTTTCTTACATAGATCAACTGGGGTACTTAAAACAAAAAGATAATTAAGAAATATTCTCAGAATCAAATTGAAAGTCGTACTTCTTAGCCCAATTTAAGTGAAAAGCGTTGCAACACTTTTCAATTTTGGTCATTTTTCACAATTAAATAATTATTCTAGAAAAAACAAAGTGAGATAATGATCTGAAATTGTGTACACACTTTAATCGTCTTAACCTACATCATAATTATGGGAGATGAATCTATAAAAAATATTTCAAATCTAATCATTTAAAAAAAAAGGAAACACCGTAGCGGAGTCTCTTTAAATCATAACCATAATGTTGAAATGTGGGATACTAATTGTAATGTTATATAAGGTATGTTTAATATAAATGCTTTGTTGAAAATGTATGATAGTAAATGCAATGTTGAAAAGTTAGGATAAACTGTTTTGTTTTTGTTTTTGTTTTAGTTTTCTATGTGTGTTTGTTTTTTGTTTTTGTTTGTTGTTTTTTTTCCTGTTGTTTGTTTTTGTAAAAAGAGAAAATTAATGAAGTTGATTAAGTAGAAAAGACCTGATTCGCTGTCTGTATGTACGGATTGCAGATATCAGAAAATGGAATGGTAACAACGGAAGATGGATTTTATGGCGGTCTAAGTTTTCCTTATGCTAAACCCTGGATAGCACCGTTCGGCGCGGATATCATACCAGCTGGAGGCACTATGGAATACCAACAATTTACTAGCACTGATACAGCTCAGATGGAATATGCAACGCAACTAGTGAATGAGGTGTATAAAGATGCCGCATTTACAGCAGTTAATGCGCTGGTGGTCACATGGACCGATGTAAAAATTGATAGTGGAAGCAAGGTAGGTATATATCTTAAATATGTGTACCTGTTGTTGTTGTTGTTGTTGTTTTTATAGAAACGTGTACCAGATATAAGAATGAGCCAGTTTTTTTAACGTTATTATATGATCTTTTTAAACAATGTTTCATATGAGCAGTATATAAATAACACATGGGTCTGTGGGTAACAGTAAAAATATCATCCCAAGGAAAATACTGTTACCCGAGGCGTAGCCGAGGGTAACAGTATTTTACGAGGGATGATATTTTTACTGTTACTCACAAACCCATGTGTTATTTATTTTATTACCCCGAACAAAAATACTGCGATGATCTGAAATTTTCAACTAAATCTAACTGTAACAAAAATAAACCAAGAGTAACAATGATAACTAAACTGTCCTTACCTTTCAAGTTTTAAGTGTACTTTAGGCCTACTTGAGAAGTTTTCTTTTTCTTTTATTCTTTATGCAAGTGATGATATCTACAAATCATAAACATACAATAAGCTAGGTTTTATTTAGAAAACAAAACACTAACCCATTTACACGGTTATGATCTGTGAAATCTGATCCTTCTGTTTCCAGAATGTTCTTAGCATTGTTTTTGACAAAATAACGATGATATCCTATGTCTGTCCACCATCTCTGTAACGTTTCACTGATTAAAATTGTTAAATAATCCTTTGTTGCATGCTTAAATCGTCTGCATGTTCCAGTTTGACAATTAATTATTTACATTGCAAGTACTTCCGTTGAAAACGGATGTTCACTTTTTGACTATTCCACAAAAAGATATTTTATACACGAAAAGCACACCAGTGTGCGAACTACTAAATTTTATGGATGTCATAGATACTTCATAGAAGAAATTGATGTCCTATCGGGGTTTAACGACGAAAATAAGAATGAATCGAGAAAAAAATGGCGGCCATTTTATTTCATTTTATTTAGAAAATAGACCACGTGACCAGATTTTATTCTGTTAAAAATACTGTTACCTATGTAACAGTACAAAATTCTTAGTCACGTGGTACACTTGCATTAACAGTAAAAATAACTCCCAGAGGCCTATGGGAAATTAGCATTACGAAAAAAGTGAGGGGTAATAATATAATATATCTCTTACTGTCTATGCTAATGAACACATGCTAACGGGAGCGGTTGTCTTGTCGTAAAGGTGGCTTCCTCTCAACCCAGGGATCATGGGTTTGAGCCCTACTAGGGTCACAACCATGTTTCTTTATGTGATGATTGTTTTAGTTGGTTCCAGAAAGCGGACACTAAGGTTATTATTATAAGTTGCAACTTGTTTCCAGTCGAGCATAAATTAATATGTTTAAACTAACATGTTAATTTATGCCTTTGAACTTTTAAAAAATAAGACTTTTAAAAACACTTCGGTATGGTTTGATTAATATTGCATTTGTTTTATTACAGGCAAATACCTTCCAATTGGCATTAGTATCTGACGCGTCAAGGCTTTATGCTATTTTCTTATATGATAAACTCGAATTTCTACCAGAAAAGGTAATAACAACATGCATTTCCTATTTAACAGTTACATTGTATAGTTAAATGGAATAACTAGAATAACACGAATAACTATGTAAACGTTTTCGTGTTTTAGAGCGTATGAATTTTGTATTTACTCTGTAACTATTTCTCTCCACAACTCCAAGTAGTGTCCGTAATATCAGCTACTTTAATTATGTCTTCATTGTTGGAGTTTGACCCTTTTTGTTATGTAAACAGTTCAATTTCAAACGTTATACTGTTGACAGCTGATTAACGAGGTATGATCAAAAAGTTCTCGGCCCGAAATACTTCTAGCCAGAGGGCGATTATTTTGAAAAGTAAGGCCATTAGTTTGGTTCTCTGACTACCGGAAGTACATCGGGCCAAGAACTGTTGATCAATCCTCGTAATGTTAGACTATCTTGTAAATATATTCTCTTTAACGAACCTATAACGGAAATTCTATGAAATATTCCACAATTGTTTATTTTTCGTCAAAATAAAGATTGGTGCAAGTGCAGGGGACGACGCGACATTTTACACCGTCTGCTATTCTGACAAACAAAGTCATTTGCAGTTTCTGGACAGGATGTCGAACTCACAGTGTGGTACAGGAGGTATACTGGTATTCCAGTTGGATGGAAGTACATGGAACGGAGGTAATAAAATAGGATTAAAGATTATTGTTTGCTTCTTTCTGCTTTTTGCAAGCTCAGTATCATACTGTCGAGAGTATCTTGTATTAATTCTTTTATTATAATTATACAAATGCATGTATATTTAACTGTCTTATGACAAAAGTAGCCCCTGCAACGACAAAACGAATGATATACATATTTAACATTTTTTTGTTTTTTACTGTTTACCAACACAATTTAGGTCATAAAACGCCAAAAACCCCAGCACAGGAAAGATGATTTTGGCTAAACTCAGATGTTAGAAATTTAAAGCAACGCCATGGGCCAAACCATCTCACCTGCTGGATCTAAAAAAGATGCGTAGACTTCACTAGTTCGAACCCATTTAGTCGCTTCTTGTGATCATGCAGGGATAAACGGGGGCTGCAAATTTTACAATTCTAATGACTAAACCTTTTAAGGCAACCCCGGCCACAAGTGGCAAAACATTTATATAATTCAGACCTCATATCATTATCACTATTTTAGGACACATGCTTGTTAACCATTTGATAAGTTGTTTTAAAATCCAATCATTCAGTTTTTTCTTGTGCTTGCAAAAGACGAGTCATATATTATTTTGTTATTTGTTAATGTTATATATGTTAAGTGTTCTTACATCAAAGCTCAGCATTTTGCTAGTAAGTCAATTCCTTGAATATCGAATAAAGAAAGGCAAGATTTTAAGTGAGTTTTTTTTCTTTTATTCAAATATTTATTCACACAATTTTAGTTTTATGTTAAATAATTTAATTATTTTTCGTTTCAATCGAACAATGGATGAAAGGCAATATAAGTTTTCAATTTTCTCAATTCGCCAATAATCAACCAATCAAAATGACTTGCAATGGCGACAGTAATAAATCTTGTTTTACATTCGTTTTCAATGGTTTAAGATTAAAATCATAACTTTCGCAAACGCCGCGGTTCATTTACATTAATATTTTTCAGCCTTTGATACCATGTTTTGAAATCTCTAATTAGTTCAAATTTCACACGATAAGTAGAAAATGATATAATTAAGATAAAATGCATTGACAAGTGAGGAATGATGATCAATCTTTATGATTTTAGATATCTTTATTACATGAAAATTGCAATTTGCGAGGTATGCAATCAAAACGTCCTTTACAGATAGGAATTAGACGAAGTATCAAAATATCGTTGTCAGTGGAAGTAAAACAAAATGTTAATTTTTGTAAGAAAAAAAAAAGGGTTTGAAGTAATTTAAAACAAACAAAAAAAACCGAAAATAAAAAATTAAAATTTTAAGGGGGCAAAAATTTTTTTCCCAAAGTTTCCCTGCCAGCCCCATAGGGTTTCCCTAAAAAATCGTAAAAATAACCTACGTTTATTTTGGGTAAATTTAAAATTAAGGAAAATTGGGTCAAATCTCCCCAAAACCTTTAAAAAGGGGGAAGGTAACAAATTTTTTTTGGGAGTCGTCAAAATCTAATGGGGGAGCGTTAATGAAAAATTAAGAAATTTTTCCCTCCATTCTTTACAGCTGAATATGTCTGTAGTCACGTGTATACGCCAGCATGCAGAAACAGACCGGGTATGTTCATTATTTTAAAAATCTTGATCCATTCTAGATGGCATTTACATTGTTTAAAAGTGCCGACGTTTAAATCTTCACCACGCTAAAAAGCTTATAGATGGACAAGCCCATCTTTCAATATAGCAAAATCATTAAAAAATTTAGCGATTTTTTTTCAAAAATATTTACTGACTACATAGCAAGCTCAAACTCAGACCAAGCTCAGACGACATGGATGTGTCTGCAAATTTATTACATGCTTAAAGGTGGTTTATAGAAATATATCAGTGATATAAAACTGGTAATTTCACTGTTTGAAACAGTGAAATTACCACTTTGATAATTTCACCGTTTTGAATTTAAGCCCCTTACGGTGTTTCAGTGAAATACCAGCGTGCACATTACTGGGTACCAACTTAATGACGTGACGTCGTAAATGACGTCACGTTGTATTATTATTTGGCGCGCTTTTCATTCAGTATTAGGTGTAATGTCTTTTTAAAACGTTTCTTTGCATGTAATGAAAAGAAAATTTGTTTAGTTTAGTGTTAGATCGAAATATATTTCACCTTGTGAACACCAAAAGTTCATATTTCACTCGTGGCTGCGCCACTCGTGAAATATACCTTTTGGTGCTCACTCGGTGAAATATATTCCGATCTTACACTGAACTAAACAAATATCCTCTATATCTTCTGAACTGGTTGCATTGGTAAAATTTGTTGCAGCACGCAGGTAAGAGGTGTAAAATCTGTACGTTTTGTAACCGGTTCCCGAGCTTGTTGGTTTTATACACGGTATTCATGTTTCATCAACTCTGAGATTTGGAATATTATTACTGGAAAGTACATGTATATAGTCTACTTGCTCAAGCTGGTGCCAGGGGACGAAGAAAACCCTTTTCAAATTTACCCCGGCTTTTTTAAAAACCCTCAAAAAAAACCGCCGGGGTTTAAAAACCCGAAAGGGGGAATCCGTTTTTTTCCCTTTGAGCAAGAAAAAATAACATTTATTGTTTAGTTTTGGTTTGGTTCCGGGAAAACGGATTCAAGAGTGTTGAATAAGCTTATAGTTTCCAACAAAATCGAACTAAAATAAATTTTATAAACAAATAAACCGGGGGTTGAAATTTTTTCGGAAAATTTTGTGTTAATTTTCCGGGGAAATCACTTTTTAATTAAAAAGATTATTTACAATTTAAATAGTTTTTAAATTTTTATTATAAAAATTTTCCCTAGCGTTGCGATTTGGACGCCAAAAAGAAAGGAAAATTTAAATGCGATACGCTAACGTCAAAATTTAACTAGTTTTAACCCCTCGACTTTTTTAAAGAAATTATTATCATTATTACGATCTTGGTTTGTTCTGGCTAAAGCAGGCAAAAGGTTAAGAATTCGTTGTCTTGTGACATGTATCAAAGATAGCGTCTTATCGGTTGAACATTGATCCGTATATATATACAGTGGACTCTCGCCCTTTCCGAACCAATTTTTATACTTTTTGTTGTATTACGTCGATAAATATCTATTTAAAAACTGAAAAGAATATCTTAAAATATAGATAAATATGTCACGATTAAAAATAGCGCAAAAAGAATTTCCTTTAAATTGGATTTAATACTGGAATTTCCACGAAAATTTAGACTGGTACCTTTGCCTAAATCCGGGTCATACTCGCCTTTTCCGAATCACCGAGCAAAATTAACGAAATGGTCGGAAAATTATGTTTATTAATTCAGTTCATAGTGACATAATACCGTGAGTAAACCGACAAGTAATATTAAATCGTGATATATTCTAATAACATTCAAGGTAGGCCAGTTTTAAAATACAGTTTCTTTATATAGCATTCTTAAAAGTGCCTATCCTTTATCAAACCTTTCATTTATGAACTGCGTGTTCATTTTTTTACTAGAAGTGGCTTTGTCATTAATTAACGCGTTAGCATAAAAGCAGACATCTGCTGCTGCCAAATGAAAAACGCATAATTATATTACATCATTTGATTAATTTTATGCAAATTGCTAAAAGATTTATACGCTATTAACAAATTGTGAAAACTAAAATATGAATTTTGTTTTGAAAACTATCTAGAATGATAGAAAAATGTTCTAAGAAATAAATCCGAACACCAGTGATCTTTAATTCAGCCATTAACGCTGTACAGACGTTTTAAAGAGTTGTTAAACTAATGGTGATAACAAAATGAATATTGGAAGCAAACAGAATCTTAAAGCAGGTACCTGCACCCTGTAGGGTACTTAATATATATATCATGTGATAGTCTTTGTGACAATCACTTCTTTGGCTAAACTAAGAGGCCATGCCAGTTTTGTAAGGGAGTTGTGTTTTTTTCAGGATGGAAAAACAGGCTTTTTTTAATTATTTCATTTCAGCCAAAACTTACAGAAATGTTAATTAAAGATTATTTCAGCAAAACTTACCGAAATGTTAAATAAAGATTCAATTGACTGTGTACATATATGTGAAGAATAAAGATTTATTTCTTTTTTATACTTAAAGACTCGGAATGCTAAAGGGGGGGTTCGAGAGAACTGGTTTGTCCATGATGTAAGTAAAACATTAAAACATGTATATAATATGTATTTATATATTAAGCATATGTCCAGACTTGTAAAATCATAAGTACTAATAAAATCTGAACAAAACAGCCAATGGCGTCTGCCTCTGGCAATAAAAATGAAATATTCTGTATCATTGCATTCATATGAGCAGAAATCTGTGACTCAAATGTGGTAGACCCTAGAAATGTCACTCTCCCTTGAGATTTTGGTAATGTTAGCGCCCTTGCTTTCTTTGCTGGTTGAAGTTAGAGTAAATTTTTTTAACTTTCTAACATTTCTGGCAAGACACCTCAGCTTGGACTGTTGGCATTTTTCTAGGTTTAATCCATCTAAAAAAGATGTTAGAATATGGTAAAATGAATGAAAGATAAAACGAAATAAATGGAAAGTATTTAATGTAACTGAAAAAGTACCTGAAGGAAGGGAATTTTCATAGTATTCTCGGGAAAGGGGATTACATCCCATTTTGTAAAAAAAGTGGAAAAAATATGAAAAAAACGTTTTATTTTTTTGCAAAAATCTACATTAAAAAGGAAAGTTTAAGCCCCCTGCTTTGGAATGGGGGTTTAAATTTAAGCAAGACTGAAAACAAGACAGTGTCTTTTAATTAGTACAAGACAAAAAATATGAATGATAAAACATCTGTTTTAGATTAAAAAGTACTCAAAAAATTTTTTTTGTTTTTTTTCCTTTTTAAACCCCTTTTCCCTTAGTTTTTTTAGTCATATAGGGGGGTGTTTCCTAACCATTCGTTCCTGCAGAGTTACACCAGTACTAGATTACCTTCCTCAGTGCTAAACTTCAAAGTATCTCTCGGGGATAGAGGTAATAAAGTCATTAGACTCTTAACCCCTCGACCACGGAGGCGGTCCCAAATATATAACAATTTTCATATAGTGTACAAAATAAGTTCAAAATGGAAATACTTCTGAAAATACAAGAGCTACACATTCCTAATTAAATCTCATTAAATATTATATGTAAAATGTTTGATAAAACATATATTTTTGAAAGTTTACATTAAATTCCCGAAGAAATAAAGAAGTCACAAAAAAGGAAGAAAACTTTACGTAAGGGCCTAGAAAATCAATTAAATCCACGGAAATATAAGTTTTCTTGAAAATTTATCCCTATCATACATATATCTAAACAATGTTTCTATCAAATAATCGTGGTCAGTGTCAATACTGATGGTCAAAATAATAAATACATATTATGTATCCTTCAAACACTTATTTCACGCAGCAGCAGAAGACTATTATAATATTGCTATAAAACTTACAACCATCTTTAACTGCCCATTTTGGAATAAATGAAAGTTTATAGCAGGCTAAGTCATATTTATTTTATAAATATTTATTTATTTTCTAATTATAAATCATTATCTATATTTTATACAAACAAAAATAAATATTGCTATATTTGGGTATATTTAGGTGTATTTGGGTATTTCGTGCCGCCGAAAAAAAGGTGATTCGGAATACACAAAAAACATGATGTCATAATCAACAGCCTTTTCGTTTTAATTTTAAAATTATTTGGTAGTTGTGGATTATTATTGCGCTTGAAAGCACATAAAATTTGCTTTTTATCAATGTTCATTTGTTTCGTTTCGGGAATTAACTAAACAATGCAAGCGCCTTTTCATTTGAAAATTTTATTTTCATTCGACAGATTTACCCGCATACGGGAAAAATATGACACTTTAAAAAACAAAAAATATAGATAATGTAAGAATAATTTTTATGCCCTTACGTAACGTTTGAATTGATTGTATAGTGCTTCGATTAGTAAAACCTAAAACATAACTTACGATTTTTGTGGCCGTCATGCACGCTCTGCGACCTAAAAAAAAAAAGCTTGGAAATGATCCTCATTTTTGACTGGTTCGGAATGGGCGAGCTCACTGTATTTATATATAATTCTTGTTTTTATTGGCAAGACATATCGTAATTTGTTCATTTATTTTATCTTTCAGGGCCCCCAGAGGCAAATTATGACGTCAGATGTCCAACAGCATAACCTCATTCAATCTTTCATTTAAAAAAACATAAATGATAATTGATATAGATCTATATTAGGCCATTTATTAACCAAAGAAAAGACCGTTTGCTCAATTAATATTTAATAAATTTTTCCTTTCATATTATGTAAAAAAAGTAAAACACTGGGCGGTAATAATTTCCAGAAATTGATTCTGCCAATCCCCCATGAAAAACAAAAACACTGAAAAAAATTACATTAATCCATGAATAAATTTTCGCCCCAAAACGTCCTTTATTTGAAAATGAGTATTCCGTCATCACTGGAAAAAAAGTTTTGCTATCATGTGGAAGAGGGTTTTTAATTCTTGCCTTTGAGAGAAAGATATGTAATTATGCATAGGGAATAGTTTTTGCACAGAGCAATCCACACTGCAAAAGCAAATTCGCCCAGCATCATTTCAACACCTATAATAGTACCCAACATGAGCTCGGCTGCCAACGATAATACTTCCCTGACCATCCTCATGAAACCGGCGCAGTGGCGCTATCTAGTGACACTTCCGGTTAATACTGGGCCAGGTATAGTTCCTAGAAAACAAGATATTATTTACATTTTTTTAAATGAAATTCAAATTGATACTGTAGACAAAACAAACAATTCATAACTACATGTTATAATTTTTTCATTTTGACGTTACTTTGTAAATTACACTAGTTTATAGTAAAAAAAAAAGAAAAAAAGTAACAGAACAAGTAAAAAAAGAACAATAAAAATGAAATAAAATGGCCAGTCAAACTGTGCGTCTGCCGTTTTCCATTATTGGTTACCTGGTACGGCATAATGGTAGAAAAAGAATCTTAAATATATGTTACATAGACTTACATTACCATCTTACTCATTATTATATATAAAATTATTTTTAAGTTGAGAACCTTATTGTTAAGTCCTATTGTATTCTAAATTCGAGTTTTAAAGGCCCATTATGCCATAGAAATGTTTTTTATATATATTTATCAAAAGCTTTTTAATTTTGTTGTACTTTTATAGTAAACTACTCAAAGAGCTACTCATTGGTCAATTACCTGAACGATTTTTTTCAACTGTTGCTTTTTTTGGCGGAATAAGTAAATTTATAGTGAATAAGTATCTTGTATGGAACAGGTGGATGGGGTGTAATTTACGTGAATTATTAGAGCCTTTTGCAATGTAAATAAGCTTTTTTGTTCACTTCTCAAGATTTTTTACATTTTAAAAAAGTTCATGAAAATTAGCATAAATCTGGAGGCATGCTATTTTAAACAATAGTTAGGCCAAATTATATAACCAGTACATTCCGGACAGTTGGGTTTCATTTTATATGATGATGATTATTATTTTTATTATCATTATTATTGTTTATTATTTACTTTGTCATTTGTAAAGTTGGGTGTTAAATTTAAATAAAGTCTAAAATAGATTTACTTATGTTGGGTTTATATGATTCATAAAATTTATTTCAAAAACATACCCAGGAGTCGAAGACACACCCACTGTAGCCCTAAACCAAGAGCTCTCAGATCATCTGGTACACATCTGTGAATTTAAATGAATGAATGAATGAATGAATGAATGAATGAATGAATGAATGAATGAATGAATGAATGAATGAATGAATGAACGAACGAACGAACGAACGAACAAACGAACGAATGGACTAATTACTTAATTACTTAATTAATTAATTCATTAATAATCTGTATCTGTAATTTAATATTTTAATCATACTTTTGACTGTATAATTATCTTTTTGTTGTTTTTTTTTGTTAAAATTGCACATATAAATGTGGCCTTTAATATTAATTTCAGTGACGTTTTTCCTTGATTGCGTTTTTGTGATCAATAGCATGGCCTTAATGGTTATTTCTTTTTATATATGTATGTCTATAACACTTTGTAACTGACGTGTAAGTATTACCGTAAAATGGCCATTGAAGCAGGAGTCACTGTTGTGAACGTCATTAGCATGGCGACGAACAAAAGCAATATAAACAGGTACATGACGTCACAGGAAGTTGCGCATTTCCCAGTCTGAGCAGTTCCTGTCAAAGCGGAAGTGCTAAGTTGTTGAATGTTCTCCGTAACGCAGGTGCAGTTATTATAAATCTAGATGATAAAGAAAATGTTTTTGTGTTTGTTGTTGTTGTTGTTGTTTTATCACATTACCCTTTAAGTTTTATACGTATTTTATATAAATTGTATACACTACTACTGTTAATTTATAAAGTAATTATTTTATTTTTTTCTCTGATAAAAGATTTTTGTGTTTTATAATTTCGTTATAGAGATTCTCGACGGGTTATATGCACCCCTACTAAACGATGGCACTTTCAAATCTTTGTGATGGGCTTAAATGAGAGCCCTCGACACTTCCGTTGTGTAGCCCTTGACCAAATAAAGGCTGAAAATGTCAACACAGTTTCTAATAATACCCTGGAATTTTCTTAAATGGGCTTGCTCACCTTCCATTTTTGGAATAATCCATAATGAATTTTGGGGATATCAAAATAGAAAATATATATAAAATGGCTTAGTTAACCGTACAGATCCTGGCCAAACTACTCCGAGGAGCAGACTGACCAAGCTCTCTATACTGCTTGCAAAAGCTTATTACTTCTGATTCTAGCAGGGATATTATAATATGAGCCGCGTCACGACAAAACCAACATAGTGCATTTGCGACCAGCATGGATCCGGACCAGCCAGCGCATCCGCGCAGTCTGATCAGGATCCATGTTTGCTATCAGTTTCTCTACTTGTAATAGAGTTGGTAAGCGAACAGCATGGATCCTGATCAGACTGCGCGGATGCGCAGGCTGATCTGGATCCATGCCGGTCGCAAACGCACTATGTTGGTTTTGTCTTGACGCGGCTGAATTATATACATACCTTTGTGAGATGTTTCGGGTCAATGACGTAATCATAGCTACATCCGGCATGACAAGGTGTAAAATAAAGTATACTGTCACTACCACACACAGGCTCAAACTTCTGTGTATCGCACGCACATCCGGTATTGCAAGAGGCATCTAGATTTGTTGATTCAATCACTTTGCTGCAAAAGAAAATGAACTTGTTATATGTTTTTTTTTATATTTTTCCACCACTCAGGTGAATATTGTTTGAAATGTTGAAGTAGATATTGTTTTTGAATTATTAGTTTCATTTTGACTATTGTATTCAACTATCTTTGTTGGTGTTCTTTTACTCACACATCGAAATACAAATGTACTGGCCTGGGTTTAAATGTATATTTCACTTTTATTTGTTTGCTATAGGCAACTATTAGGTTTAAGCTTCGTTTTCTCACAGAAACTGATACTTCTTCATTTGTAAGTCGTCACAATTTTTAAGACTGCATCTAATGTTAAAAGAATTTCTTTTTTTAACGTTATATTTTTTTAAATTGGTAATAAAATGTATGTTTAATTAGGATATGAAATACATGACTCACTTCGTGCCATAAGCTGTTGTGACGCCAGCAAACTCTATTTCTGGACAACCAATGAAAAATCCTCCTCCAATAACAATAGCTAAAAGCGACATAAGAACGCAGAGTCGTACCATGCCAACCACGCCAAACCTAAAACGCCTGATCAGTACCCCACCCAGCACCATACCGCCCGCACCGCCGAGCAAAGTGACAGCCCCTATTTGTGATACATATAACAAAATAATGACGCAGAATTAAATCAAAGCAAACTTTCTGTTTTGTTTCTTTTTTATTTTTATTTTAACTTTTGTTAAATAAATTAAAAAGTGTTTTAATATAACTATTCATTATGTCGCATGTTATCAAGCTAATTAGGGCTACGTGAAATATATCAATTGAAAGATATTTCCATTTTGTTGACTGATAATTACGAGACGATCATCTTAGTAAAACACATTTTTGAAATGAAAGTAATAAAAGCTAAAAAGAAAGAATAAAGAGTAAGAAACAAACAAAAAGCAAACAAACAGACAAACAAACAATGTCGAACAGAAAGATAGTAACAAACAAACAAAAAACAAGAAGCAAAAATACCCATAATAAAGCCGGAATCCGAAGGAAGGATATCGAACTTTTCTTCAAGAATTTTAGGAGCAAAAGCAGCAAGACCGCCGATTATTAATGTTTCAGCGCATGCGCCGAGGACAACCAGCGTGTATGTTGGTATACAAATCTGAAACACAAAGCATAATATCAAATGAACTTGGCGGTGTCATTTTCCATAGATGTTACATGTAACATGCATCAGATTGCGTGAGCAAAGTTTTGATAGATTTGTAATTATATTGCAAGATTTAGGAGTAATTCACAACGTTGGGTTAAAGTGGCATTATGCCCAGTCAAAGGTATATGAAAGTCAAACTAATTTTACATTTCGCAATAATTCCTTTAAATTTTATAATTTACTTCACATGAACGATTAATAATTCACATTACCCAAAGACATTTCTGTAAATATCCATCAGTAATTATTTGATTCGTTCAATTTAAAAAAAGAGTGTCAATTTAAAAAAAAAAAAAAAGAATGGCTTGTCTTTTTTTATATTTTATGCTTATTTATATTTTATCCTAAACATTTTCCAATAGCAACTGTTGGTCACATCACAATTATTATCATCAATCGTTTGGAATATATAGCCAATTCAGCTCAATTTGACAATGAAAAAAATGATCATTGATAATGTTATCCACATATGGACGGAATAAAAAGTATCTATCACTTTAATCGTAGTCGACTTTTATTTAATTCAGCCTGTTTCTCTAAGAACTTAGGGACACATCTCACATATGATATGACCCGCTGCTGTTTATATAAATACCAATTTAAAGATGGCTTTAGGGAACTCAATTAGCTTTTCCGTGATTGTACGATCGTCCTCTTTAGGTTGTTCGTCTGCGTCGGAATCTCTGGATGCACGTATCTCAGCTGACCCTAAAACATTATAAAAATATCCAAATTCATCAACTTTTATATATAGTTAATTGTGTCTTGAATACTTTGCAGGCAAACGATCCACATTTTAGAATTTTAATTGTTTGTTTTCCAAACTTTATTTGGTTATTGTTTTTATGTTTGTTATTATTAATACTATCACTGCTGATGGCGGTGTTGGTTTTATTCTTGTTGTTGTTGTTGTTGACAACAAATCATTGATCTATAAACATGTTTAATTTCATGCAGATTAAAACTTCAAGCTCCCAGGTTCAATGCCAAAAGGACAAATAAAGATAACTTTTGACAGTCTTCTAGACATTATGAAGCAAAATATGAAAAGACCATATTCCGTTAGTAACGGAAAATAAGATATGGAAATTAAGCATGCAAAACTTTAAAGTTTAATGAAAGTATGTAATCATTTCTTTATACACTTCATATATCTGTCTTATTATTATTTTCTCTTAGAAAATAAGTTAATTAATCGGGACGTTTACTGCCTTTATTTCTTATATAATTATCCAGAATAATTTGTCATTCTGTCTTTAATTGAAAAGAAAACATACAGGCGTATAGTTCGGCCGATATTCAGAGGTATTGTCCAATCTAAAAATGAAAATTTACCTGGTAGATTTCTCGGATATCCAGCTAATGGAATGGTGAAGATGAAAAAGCAGATTGCTGTGACAATGAATCCTACCCACCATGCCCCAACCCAGCGAGGATCAGCAGGGGTCAAATCAACACTAAAATTGGGTTATAATTATAATACATTAAATGATGGAAAGATCAGTAATAAAAGCAAACAGTATTAGTTAGTCCTTTCTTTTTTCTATTTCCTTCCTTACCCCTTCCTTCCTTCCTTTTCTTCGTTCCTTCCTTCCTTCCTTCCTTTTTTTCCTTCCTCCCTTCTTTACTTCCTTCTTTCCTTCCTTCTTTCATTCATTCATGCCTTCATTCATTCATGCTTTCTTTCGTTCAAATGAATTTATTCGTTCGTTCCTTTTTCATTCATTCATTCATTCATTCGTTCATTCATTCATTATTCAAATTCATTGATTCACTGATTCGTTCGTTCGTTCGTTTGTTCATTCATTCATTCATTCATTCATTCATTCATTCATTCATTCATTCATTCATTCAAAATCATTCATTCATTTATTGTTTCATTCAAATTCATTCATTTATTGCAAGAAAAAATGTCGCAGAAATATTTCAATATTTCAAGACTTTACAAAGTAAAACAAAACCAGAAATATGACATAAAGAGAGAAATATATTCATTAAAAAATATACATGATTTATTATGTAAAACAACTAACTTGCCGACGGTGTTGAAGTCTACATAAAGAGTGAGAAACTGTCCACCGCCAATATAACCTCCGCCTACACCCAACGCCGTGATTGCATATATGATACCTGTTTAAAATGGTTTAAAAACAATTCATTTTAAAGGTGAATACCTCCAGATGAGCCAAAGTATTTCAAGAAAATCTACCTTGAGAAAAATATACTTAGATTTTAAAGACAAGTAAAAGATTCAATATTCAAGAAACAATTTACACGTTATATGCAATTGCTGACTGAGTTCGTAGTATTTTCCATCATATTTCTAATGCGTGACTAACGCAGTAACGGCTTTTTGCAAATTCTGACCTATTTTTCATTTTTGGTATTTTTTGTAGATTTCAAGAGTCGGTTGCGATGTGTAAAATAATACTTTATTTCTTCACTTGACAATATATTACTTTTAAATACATTTTTTAAATATTCATAAAAAAATTAGCGTGAATCTGGAGGCATGCTCCTTTTACATCTGTAAAAGCGTTGTTACACCGCACAAGAATATAAAACTAGTTCTTATAAAACTTACTCGTTTGCTTTACACGTCAGCTATTATAATGTTAAGTTGTCATGACATACACGTTCATTATGAAAAACTAAATTGAATGTTTCTAAATTAAATTAAATTTGTGTAACATAAAAGCATTTAATATATATACATATATGAAATATTAAAAATATTGATGAAATAAAATATGAATTTCAATTTTCCGCATTTTCACTGTCAAACTTTTATTTTTCACTGCAGTGAAAAAGTCCGTATTTTTAATGGTATCTTGCCGGAATATTGTCTTCTAAATTCAGCCGTTAGACAAAATTAAAGGGCGTAATGTCAAGAAATAGAAAAAGAAAATTACAGAGAAAATTGATTTTTTTCTGTGAATACGGGATTTATTTTATCTCATGGTATGAAAATTATCATATTTCATTCGTGGATACTACCACTTATAGCCTCTATATATCTTTTATAAAACGTTTAGTTGTCTACCACCATTCACATCAAAAAGATAAATTGCAAATCAGATAAAAGGGAGACAAACCTAAATATACTGCCGTAGATTCTGACTTAGAGTTGTCGTCCACGTAAGCCGTCCCCAGTGTAAACATTGGTGTAAACCCTATACCATGTACAGCTTGACCGAGCATGAATATGTACAAATAAAATGACGATGACAAATCTTTTAAGCACGTGCTTTCACGTGCAGGGTCACATACATAACTTATATTTGATGTTTCGCCTGCAAAAAAAAATAACAATGTACAATTCAATGAAAAACAAGTACGTTTTATATATCATTCAAATCTGTGATCGTTCTAGTTTTCTTAACCTTATCACCAAGCTCATGTCAGTCTAGTTTAACTTTAAAATCTCTTTCAGCAACTAGTTGGATGTTAAAAATTTAAAATTAATCAAATTAAGCGAGATATGGAAAAAGATTATAGTTTCACGTGTCTATTATTTTTAAAGACAATATCAATTCTAATCAAACCCTCCCTGTTTAATGTTTTTCCTGTATTGTCACCGTAACAGACAAGACGAAATTTTGTACTTGAAAGAAATAGTCATTATCAATATAATAATTAGGGGACAATAAATTGCGACGTTATGTAAAAAGTTTTTGGGTGAGTTTTAAAGCCCAACTGACATTGTGAACGCCAGTGGCGACTATCAAGCTTCATGGACAGGAAGATCTCAGGTGCTCCGCCATGCACCCTTTCAAAGTTGGAGCGGACACCTGAGTAGTACCTGCGACTTAACGTAAACTTAACTGGTACTGTGACTCCAGGATTTAAAGTCGGGATTCGAACACATAGAGGTGACTCGAAATTAACAACAAAAAATTTACCTCTATCACTCAGCCACAGAGGGCCCTAACTATACCTTACCTACAGCTCGATAGTCATATTGGTCAGCTATGAAATGTGGCAACAGGAATATCACGGACCCAGCACCCATAATGGCACACCCAACAGCAATCCACTTTGGTCGATTTCCTTTGCTGCCAGCATAACTTACAAACAGTACAAACATAATAGCGCCTGCAAATAATAATGTTTCTAAAATGTAACGTTGTGTTCAGTTTGATTTGCAAATAAACTCATCGTCGGATACCCTCGGCCGTATCATATGTTACATGTTTATCAACCGTGGGTACCTGACGATGAGTGAAAGTAACAGTCAATAAATAAAATTTATTCAAAAAACGCAGAATTAAATCAAAGCAAACTTTCTGTTTTGTTTCTTTTTTATTTTTATTTTAACTTTTGTTAAATAAATTAAAAAGTGTTTTAATATAACTATTCATTATGTCGCATGTTATCAAGCTAATTAGGGCTACGTGAAATATATCAATTGAAAGATATTTCCATTTTGTTGACTGATAATTACGAGACGATCATCTTAGTAAAACACATTTTTGAAATGAAAGTAATAAAAGCTAAAAAGAAAGAATAAAGAGTAAGAAACAAACAAAAAAGCAAACAAACAGACAAACAAACAATGTCGAACAGAAAGATAGTAACAAACAAACAAAAAACAAGAAGCAAAAATACCCATAATAAAGCCGGAATCCGAAGGAAGGATATCGAACTTTTCTTCAAGAATTTTAGGAGCAAAAGCAGCAAGACCGCCGATTATTAATGTTTCAGCGCATGCGCCGAGGACAACCAGCGTGTATGTTGGTATACAAATCTGAAACACAAAGCATAATATCAAATGAACTTGGCGGTGTCATTTTCCATAGATGTTACGTATAACATGCATCAGATTGCGTGAGCAAATTTTTGATAGATTTGTAATTATATTGCAAGATTTAGGAGTAATTCACAACGTTGGGTTAAAGTGGCATTATGCCCAGTCAAAGGTATATGAAAGTCAAACTAATTTTACATTTCGCAATAATTCCTTTCAATTTTATAATTTACTTCACATGAACGATTAATAATTCACATTACCCAAAGACATTTCTGTAAATATCCATCAGTAATTATTTGATTCGTTCAATTTAAAAAAAGAGTGTCAATTTAAAAAAAAAAAAAAGAATGGCTTGTCTTTTTTTATATTTTATGCTTATTTATATTTTATCCTAAACATTTTCCAATAGCAACTGTTGGTCACATCACAATTATTATCATCAATCGTTTGGAATATATAGCCAATTCAGCTCAATTTGACAATGAAAAAAATGATCATTGATAATGTTATCCACATATGGACGGAATAAAAAGTATCTATCACTTTAATCGTAGTCGACTTTTATTTAATTCAGCCTGTTTCTCTAAGAACTTAGGGACACATCTCACATATGATATGACCCGCTGCTGTTTATATAAATACCAATTTAAAGATGGCTTTAGGGAACTCAATTAGCTTTTCCGTGATTGTACGATCGTCCTCTTTAGGTTGTTCGTCTGCGTCGGAATCTCTGGATGCACGTATCTCAGCTGACCCTAAAACATTATAAAAATATCCAAATTCATCAACTTTTATATATAGTTAATTGTGTCTTGAATACTTTGCAGGCAAACGATCCACATTTTAGAATTTTAATTGTTTGTTTTCCAAACTTTATTTGGTTATTGTTTTTATGTTTGTTATTATTAATACTATCACTGCTGATGGCGGTGTTGGTTTTATTCTTGTTGTTGTTGTTGTTGACAACAAATCATTGATCTATAAACATGTTTAATTTCATGCAGATTAAAACTTCAAGCTCCCAGGTTCAATGCCAAAAGGACAAATAAAGATAACTTTTGACAGTCTTCTAGACATTATGAAGCAAAATATGAAAAGACCATATTCCGTTAGTAACGGAAAATAAGATATGGAAATTAAGCATGCAAAACTTTAAAGTTTAATGAAAGTATGTAATCATTTCTTTATACACTTCATATATCTGTCTTATTATTATTTTCTCTTAGAAAATAAGTTTATTCATCTGGACGTTTACTGCCTTTATTTCTTATATAATTATTCACAATAATTTGTCATTCTGTCTTTAATTAAAAAGAAAACATACAGGCGTATAGTTCGGCCGATATTCAGAGGCATTGTCCAATCTAAAAATGAAAATTTACCTGGTAGATTTCTCGGATATCCAGCTAATGGAATGGTGAAGATGAAAAAGCAGATTGCTGTGACAATGAATCCTACCCACCATGCCCCAACCCAGCGAGGATCAGCAGGGGTCAAATCAACACTAAAATTGGGTTATAATTATAATACATTAAATGATGGAAAGATCAGTACTAAAAGCAAACAGTATTAGTTATTCCTTTCTTTTTTTTCTACTTCCTTCCTTACCCCTTCCTTCCTTCCTTTTCTTCGTTCCTTCCTTCCTTCCTTTTTCCTTCCTCCCTTCTTTACTTCCTTCTTTCCTTCCTTCTTTCATTCATTCATGCCTTCATTCATTCATGCTTTCTTTCGTTCAAATGAATTTATTCGTTCGTTCCTTTTTCATTCATTCATTCATTCGTTCATTCATTCATTATTCAAATTCATTGATTCACTGATTCGTTCGCTCGTTCGTTCGTTTGTTCATTCATTCATTCATTCATTCATTCATTCATTCATTCATTCATTCATTCATTCATTCAAAATCATTCACTTATTTATTGTTTCATTCAAATTCATTCATTTATTGCAAGAAAAAATGTCGCAGAAATATTTCAATATTTCAAGACTTTACAAAGTAAAACAAAACCAGAAATATGACATAAAGAGAGAAATATATTCATTAAAAAATATACATGATTTATTATGTAAAACAACTAACTTGCCGACGGTGTTAAAGTCTACATAAAGAGTGAGAAACTGTCCACCGCCAATATAACCTCCGCCTACACCCAACGCCGTGATTGCATATATGATACCTGTTTAAAATGGTTTAAAAACAATTCATTTTAAAGGTGAATACCTCCAGATGAGCCAAAGTATTTCAAGAAAATCTACCTTGAGAAAAATATACTTAGATTTTAAAGACAAGTAAAAGATTCAATATTCAAGAAACAATTTACACGTTATATGCAATTGCTGACTGAGTTCGTAGTATTTTCCATCATATTTCTAATGCGTGACTAACGCAGTAACGGCTTTTTGCAAATTCTGACCTATTTTTCATTTTTGGTATTTTTTGTAGATTTCAAGAGTCGGTTGCGATGTGTAAAATAATACTTTATTTCTTCACTTGACAATATATTACTTTTAAATACATTTTTTAAATATTCATAAAAAAATTAGCGTGAATCTGGAGGCATGCTCCTTTTACATCTGTAAAAGCGTTGTTACACCGCACAAGAATATAAAACTAGTTCTTATAAAACTTACTCGTTTGCTTTACACGTCAGCTATTATAATGTTAAGTTGTCATGACATACACGTTCATTATGAAAAACTAAATTGAATGTTTCTAAATTAAATTAAATTTGTGTAACATAAAAGCATTTAATATATATACATATATGAAATATTAAAAATATTGATGAAATAAAATATGAATTTCAATTTTCCGCATTTTCACTGTCAAACTTTTATTTTTCACTGCAGTGAAAAAGTCCGTATTTTTAATGGTATCTTGCCGGAATATTGTCTTCTAAATTCAGCCGTTAGACAAAATTAAAGGGCGTAATGTCAAGAAATAGAAAAAGAAAATTACAGAGAAAATTGATTTTTTTCTGTGAATACGGGATTTATTTTATCTCATGGTATGAAAATTATCATATTTCATTCGTGGATACTACCACTTATAGCCTCTATATATCTTTTATAAAACGTTTAGTTGTCTACCACCATTCACATCAAAAAGATAAATTGCAAATCAGATAAAAGGGAGACAAACCTAAATATACTGCCGTAGATTCTGACTTAGAGTTGTCGTCCACGTAAGCCGTCCCCAGTGTAAACATTGGTGTAAACCCTATACCATGTACAGCTTGACCGAGCATGAATATGTACAAATAAAATGACGATGACAAATCTTTTAAGCACGTGCTTTCACGTGCAGGGTCACATACATAACTTATATTTGATGTTTCGCCTGCAAAAAAAAATAACAATGTACAATTCAATGAAAAACAAGTTCGTTTTATATATCATTCAAATCTGTGATCGTTCTAGTTTTCTTAACCTTATCACCAAGCTCATGTCAGTCTAGTTTAACTTTAAAATCTCTTTCAGCAACTAGTTGGATGTTAAAAATTTAAAATTAATCAAATTAAGCGAGATATGGAAAAAGATTATAGTTTCACGTGTCTATTATTTTTAAAGACAATATCAATTCTAATCAAACCCTCCCTGTTTAATGTTTTTCCTGTATTGTCACCGTAACAGACAAGACGAAATTTTGTACTTGAAAGAAATAGTCATTATCAATATAATAATTAGGGGACAATAAATTGCGACGTTATGTAAAAAGTTTTTGGGTGAGTTTTAAAGCCCAACTGACATTGTGAACGCCAGTGGCGACTATCAAGCTTCATGGACAGGAAGATCTCAGGTGCTCCGCCATGCACCCTTTCAAAGTTGGAGCGGACACCTGAGTAGTACCTGCGACTTAACGTAAACTTAACTGGTACTGTGACTCCAGGATTTAAAGTCGGGATTCGAACACATAGAGGTGACTCGAAATTAACAACAACAAAAAATTCACCTCTATCACTCAGCCACAGAGGGCCCTAACTATACCTTACCTACAGCTCGATAGTCATATTGGTCAGCTATGAAATGTGGCAACAGGAATATCACGGACCCAGCACCCATAATGGCACACCCAACAGCAATCCACTTTGGTCGATTTCCTTTGCTGCCAGCATAACTTACAAACAGTACAAACATAATAGCGCCTGCAAATAATAATGTTTCTAAAATGTAACGTTGTGTTCAGTTTGATTTGCAAATAAACTCATCGTCGGATACCCTCGGCCGAATCATATGTTACATGTTAATCAACCGTGGGTACCCGACGATGAGTGAAAGTAACATTCAATAAATAAAATTCATTCAAAAGTTGATATTATCGCAGTAAAATGAATGTCTTTGTCTTTTACATTGTTACAGTATATTTAAATTTAAGTTAAAATACGTATAAGTATACATTACTATTATAAATAGTCAAAATTTTCTGTATAACAATTTTTAGTATTTTTTCTAAACCATTTTTTATTTGTTTCTTAAAAACTTTCGAGTTTTGTACTGATAACTAAATTGTAAGGGGAAATTTTATTAAAAAACCACCATTTTCAAGTTAACAAAACCCCATTCTGTACGTAAAAAATAAAACCCCGATGAAACTTGGGAGACCCAACCCCTTTCCCCTGTTGTCAACGTATTCCGAGAGGTTTACGCGGCCCTCAGGGGCCCCCCGCCAACCCAGCGACAAACCACCGTATTTCATCGCTGCCAAACATTTTTATAGAAACAAAAAACTATAATATCATTTAAATGAAACTATTACTTACCATGATCATAATCGTTTTAAAGGCTACACTTGTCAAGAAGTATATTAAAAAGTTTGTTAAAGCATATCGTGTTAATGCAGTAAAAAAGCGTTTAAATCATTCGCATGGCCTCATGGGGAGTCCATGAACAAACGCCGGCGCCCGGCAGCGGTCAAGATCAGTCAATTTTGTAATAATGTCCTCATTTAATTTGCAGAATTTTGGAGTGATGTGATGACTCACAACCCTAAGTAAAGATGGCAATTTAATCCACGTTACAATTGAAAATGTGAGTGTAGTGTGTGTTAGAAGGTGAAAGTGCATCATGTGTAAACATTCCAGCTCTGTAATAAACTTTTATAGAGTCAGAAGGACATAAAATCAGACAAATGGCGCACTTCAGTTGTAAACTATTTAATGATTAAAGATATATTATACTCAAATTTGATATTTGTAAATATTGAATATTGCTACACTGTCTCTTTGTCAATATAAAATCAACATGTTTCGACTTTACACAAAGTAGATATGTTATGTTTTTAATTATACACACTATAGGAAGCCACACTATTAATATATTGTGTCATTAAAAAACTGAGAGGTTTTTTTTTTTAGAAAGAACCAACTTTACCCGACCCGTTAGATGGAATGCACCTTCCCATACATTGTATGTACATTCTTTTATTCTAAATAAGACATATTCAGTAAGAATTTCATAGATTTCAATAAATGTCTGCGATAAAATTCTTTAAATCAAAGATGAGTACAGTATATCTTTAATGATATATGCAATTAAAGTAATGTATTATACATTAGTAAGCAATAACTGAATAGGTATAATATAAAATTAATTTTCGAAATACTTTTATAACAATGTTTTGTTAAAGATAATAACTCTCATTCTTTAAACTCATTTTAATACATGTACAGCGCTGTGCAAATTATTTAATTGGGCTTACCACTAGTTTTGATTGATGAACGAGTATAAAGTTATGTATATAAACATACCTTGGGGTCACAGGCCCCCATCCAAACAGTTGTTGTTGTTCTTCTTCTTCTTCCTCTTGTTTGACCTAAATTATTTCATGTTAAAATATAAGGAATAATAAAATGAAATTTCAGAATGACTAGCTATTATAAACGCACTCGAAAATAACATTTGTTTCATTTGCCATCAAGTTAAACTATGCTACCACAAGGGTCACGAACTCACGAAACACATGCACATGCCTTCTCTCTACCTAAATTGTAAGACTTGTCATCACGCCGCTAAGGTCACGAACACACGAAAAATGTGCACAGTTTCCTTCTCTACCAAAACTTTAACACTTGCAATCCAGTAAAACTATACCGTCACTAAGGTCACAAACGCACGAAAGATGTGTACATGCTTTCTTCCGAACAAAATCATCGCGTATTTTGTTATTGTACAATTAAAAAAAACAACAAACAACAAACAAAACAAAAGCAAACGATACTCAACTTATTTCTGGCACATAGACTTACAATTGTATCCTTAAACAGATCGCGATTAAGAAGGAATATAAACATTCTTCTTTTTTCGGACAGGGTTAATATCTACCATTAAATTCTCTTACACACATGTATTTCTTATTTCTCGTTATATCATGATCTAGCTACTTACCCTGTGTACTCCATTCATTTTCCCTTCTGTCAGAGACGATCTTGTGTTTGTTTTATCCCTTTCATTCACCTTAAATAATTTTCAAAATATTCTTGCTTTGTATAATATTTGTAAATCTAGTATGAATTTTGTAAAAAGCCTCGAACATTATACATGCAGCGCTAACATCTTGGAGCGTATTATTATTGTTTGGCGACATTCAACCGACTATTTCATGTGCTAATAGTGTTTGGGCAGTAAAAGTAATGGTCATTTTGCTCATATGAATGCTACTTTAAAAGCAATAAAATTATGACATATAAATATTATTATCCTTATTTGGTTGTTGAGGTTTAAATAAATGTGTCTTTATCTTAAAAGAAAGTTTTGTTCTAGATTTCTAACTTTAGTAGACGGGAATATTTGATAGGTTTTTTAATTGTGGCGGATTTAATGTTGCTTCACGGCAGTGAAATAGAGTAAATCAAGGGACTCGAACAAAAGTTTATTTCATGACGTAAGTGCTACTCGTACATATAAGATACTGAATGACTTGTAAAGCAATCGTCTTGCGATAAAATGGTTATAAAATCTGTTTGTAACATTTCTAAGTTAGTCGAAATTGTCGCAAGAACTGTTTGTTATATTAGGAAATTTAAGATTGAGCTTGCTATAGCAGAACACTTTTTATTTCAATATATAATTATATCTAATGACTACGCATTACATTTACAACCACGTCAACTTTTGTTATACTAACGAACAAGAATGCCCCCTCCTCCCCTTGTAGGTCATAATTTTATGCATTTTGTGAAAAATATATCCACTCTTTTACTTTCTAGGATTAAACATTGATATTTCTTAAACCACCAACATTAATTTCACCCATTTACAGAATCGCCCGTACAGCCCATAACCCAACCGACAAAAAAAGTTTTATTTCATGATCTTTCCGGCCACGACTTTCAGACAAATACTTAAAACAGAACTAACAGAACTATTTCTGTTATTTATAACAATACAAAAATACTGTAATTGTAATTCTAAGTATTTTGTTGACATGATTTGAAATAAAAAACTTACTATTTCTGGGAAGATCTTAGTACTAGACATATCTCCTAAACTTCTCCCTACGTATTTCACACCTTACTCATTAGAATCACAGACTTTAAGTTGTCCAACAAGTTTTAATATCATCTATCAACATGTAAATTAAATTATAAAATTGCAATAGTTATATAACTCTCTTGGTGATAAGTGTATTTATGGAGTATTGCCTACAATATAGAAATAAAACAATTTAATGAATTTATATTTATAAAGAAAGCGAGTTGGTCGAAACTGATAACGTGAACATCAGTTATGATTTTATGGTCATTATTTACCAACCATGCTGAATTTCTTATATATTCTTCAAGATTTTAAAGCGTGTTAACAAGTTGAGTCATTGATAATTGTGACGTCATTTTTTATGAGCTAATATAAATTTACTTTATTTTCCTTTTCATTATTGCAAAATTAAATCTTTCCGATTATCTGATTGCGTGTGGTTGAAATTCTCAGATGCATAAAAGTTTTAAAATTTATGGGAATTGATACCGCAGTGTCAATAGATTGGAAATAATACAATCAACTCAAGACATCCTAACATATTTGCGACATATCAGTCAGCCAATATACCAGATATCCACGGACAGAATAAGGCCTACTTTTAAATTGTATGAGAATAGATACCGCAGTGTGAATAAATTGGAAATACTATAATCAACTGAGGGCATTCTAACATTTTTGCGACAGACCAGTCAGCCAATATACCAGCTTACCATGGACAATAAGACCTATTGCTTGTTTTTATCTCCTGGACCAATGATTATAGTCAGGATCAGCTGATTTAAATTGCCGTAAAGGGAATAATCTCAGCTATCAAAAGAGCCATCATTCAACAAAATCGGACCATTTAGTTAGTCTCCAAGGTGACAATGAAGGTAACAATCATTTTAAATATACACCCATTCCTGCTTACTTAATCTGCTTGTAGATCATTTATACAAGAAAGGTGCAACTACCTGCAGAAGCAAAGATTCCAATTCAAGCACGCAGGGATTAAAAATTGCACGAGATATTCCCTGCAAGGTCGCTCTGCAAATTGATCATTCTTGCAGGGCATTTTTGGACTCCATTGCTAAGTAGATCTGCATTGTATTCCTGTACGGCATTTATTTTCCATTTTTATTACGGAATTTACAATGCCAGAAGATCCGCTGGCAGAAGATTTCAGAATCATTATGTTTTTACGAGTAAGACTATGTGTAATGCTTATTCCTTTAGTATAAATCCTTGCTCACGTATTTTTCCTGCATATGTTAACATAAATGATAAAAACACAGTCAATCATATAGCTTATCAAACAACAAATAAGTAATTCAACAGCAAATATATTTTATCATAAATATTATAATTGTACAAATAATTTAGTCATAAGACTGACGAAATTGTTACTCATAAATTGTGTTAATAATGTGCATTATTCTAGAATAAAAAAAGAATCAAACAAAATTATATTGAAAAAAAAATCGAAAAAAAGTTATATTTAATATACAAATTTAAGTCATTATATCAAATAGGTGTATCCACTTCTGTTGGCCATCTTTTCTCGTCTGCGGTAAAGTTATTGCGTTTTATTGCGTTTTCCTTCTGCATCAAGCTATACGAACATTTTCGATCTTTACCACTTTCCCTTCTACGTATGAATATTGCGTAATTTTCCTATCGTTAACATTCCATCTTACATGGATCTTTTTCACCATGTGGTTAAGTTTTGGAACTAATTATTTCTATTATTTTCACCATTGTTATTTGCACGGAATGCTTGGTATATGTCATATAGTTCATTCACAAAAGGAGCAATAATTATGAAAATCGCGGCAAGAAAGGCCCACACTTTAGAAACTCCAACCTGAAATACATAATTATATAATATACAAATTGCTCCTAGTATCAAAAACAGTATAATATTATTGTTAATTTACCGAAAAAAAGGTTTTATACATCATTTTATAAATATGTATTAATAAATATAATTATGTTTCTTTGGGAATTATACTTGTAGATATGAAATAACGATATACCAAAATACTGAAATAAGTAGAATCATGTGTCAAAGATTGTGGATTCGGGAACAAGAAGATCAGGTTTCTTAAGAATTGTGCAAATTAGCATTAGATAAGCTATAAACTGAACCAAAATAAATATGTTTTTACTAAACTAAACTACAGAGCTCTGAATTTTATCATGGAATGTTCTTACAAGTGCAAAATTGCCGTATGCACAATTAAATTTTAACTTAAAACTATAAATTATTTCCAATAGAATTAAAGTTATAATAGATGTTTTTGCATGGTTTTATTTCTTTAACCCTTTGAGTAATATGAGTTTGCATGACTGTATATGCCTTCAGTTAATTACCTTGTCATTATGCATTACGGGCATTTTAATAGTTAAATGGTATTTATTTGATACTAAAATCCCCCTAATTCTGAATTCAAAGCAGGTCAAAGCCACTTTATATAGTATTACATATATTTAGCTGAATAACGCGCATACAAAATTCCTAGTTAAACATTAAGTTAACTTTTTTTACAAGATAATTTTTATCATGAGTCAGTACCTACTTTGTAAAATGTTAAAAAAAGACATACAGTTTCATCTCAATTTCAAGATACCTTTCACTTAATGGTACCGTCATTGTATATACGTATCTTTATTGGCACTAAACAGGTATATGTTTTGGCCGAACAAAATATTGAATAAAATTGAATTATAAATACGATTTAAGCATATAAATTATAAAAATCTGAAGAAAAAGTGTTCCCTCGGAAGCATTAATTACAAAAGAATTACATGAAAATTGCAAACTCGGTTCAATTGAGTCTGTACATGAGAGATAATGAAAAAGTGCAACATCCCTCACACCCTCTAGCACCGGCTTAAGCGGTACTTAATTTTCAACGCTTACAAGTGCTGTAAACAATGATTCCGAAGGACCAGAAAAATATGTAACACCACTGAAGTGAAGAACAACCATACCCATGTGTTAAACGAATCAAAATCCAAGACAGGTATGCCGTAAATCATTATCAATGGCCAAATCACAATCAGTATAACTGTTAATGCTATTGACCCAATAAAACCAGCAATCTTGGTAACTTTGAAGGCTTCTTGAACTTCTACCAATGATGGCCTATTATCTAATCGATATGCTCCAATTAAGTGTAAGTCTCTGTATAGAATATAAAAAAGATGAATTGTATTAATAGCTTTTTAGATATATTGGATTTTACGAAATATGCTAGTAAAATGTTTTGCAATACTGGCTGAATAGGGACATGTAAAGTAAATCACTTAACCAGTAGAAAGTACTTTTGCATTTTCAATTCACGCATTTAAGAATTATTCTGTCTAAGATGCAAATGCAAAGTTTATGACATGTGTTCTTACCGCAAGATGAACAATTAAATGTGACATTAATCTGCAATAGAAGATGTTACTGGTAAAGAAGATATAATTGAACAAATATAATGGGCTGCCTAGAATAAGTTTACTCAATTTGAAAGGCCAACGAATTGGTTGTCACTTTGGTAGCGTGTATTACAAGTAAGTAAATTCTCCTTGATCGGTTCTTAGAACATGCTTGTCTCCTGTAATTAATGGCGAAACAAACATATTTTTCGAGCATCCGAATAACAAAGGCATAGCTTACTTCTCATAAAGTTCTGTCCATGGACTGAGGGGGTTGTCTATATCCCTTGTTTTCTCCCATATTTCAGAACCTTCCTCGCTTCGTCCTGACACCAAACTTACACTAATGGATATAACAGCCCCGGCAACCAAAGACATAAGGTTTCCAGATAGCATCGGGTATTCTTTTGCTGCAAATCAATATGAGTTATTCTGACCAAAGTAATTTTAATCGATTTTAATAATTTCAATATCATTCATCAGTAAATTTCAATGTAAGTCTAAGCTTGGAAATTGTGAAACAAGTGCTGAGACTTGGATTGTATGGCACAAATATGCTTTTTCCTAAGTGACAGGTGCAATTTCGTACCTAGTATCACACGTCAGATTGCATCATCAGGTACATCGTCATTTTAATGAATTCTTTTTTATTGATAAAACTCTGTGATGAAACGTAATTCTCTCCTGGGAATTATATAATATTAGAAATAGTGTCAATATTCAATAGTAACAATAGTAACAATATTCAATCTGTTAATAACTTGGGTTCATATAGAAAGCCTAGATTTTGAATAAAAACGCTGTCAATTCGTTCTGTTAAGAACTAACTTTTTATCATATGAAAAACTTACATACTAAGTTAGAACTGTGCCCATACTGATCCGTTATAATTATGAAAACATAGATATTTTTATATCCAACTAACGGTTCAAAAGGTACACCAATTTTAAGTAAAGGCGAGTGTTAAGGTTGTATAAAGGCATATAGCAGAATGAAAAATGCATATTAAAAGAGTTTATTTAAACTTCACGTAGCTTGAAATATGATAACAGAAACATATCAAGAAAAAATACATGGGTATTTGTTTCACCAATATTTTTCTCACTTAATAATTTTTATTTATGCAAAATTTAGATTAATTTTGTTTATCAGCCATATGTCAAGCATACGCCTTTCAGGACAAGCTTTTTATTCTAATAATTTATAATAAAGAGAATAAACAGTTATATATAAAACAAAACAAAAATAACATTACGAATTTGCGGCTAATAACGGTATATTATTTCAGAAAATAAATTATTTATTCCTTGTCAAGATAATGTACAAAATGTATAAGTTTTACATAGATACAGTATATCAAATTTACATTTATATCAGTCTTGGAAACGGAAACGAAACCCAAACACGAAACCCCGACATACAAATTATGCGAATATGACAGTGCTCACCCGCATTATGTTTGAAATTTGAAATTCCCCCTGGATGTAAGGCAGTTACAATAATCCAAGTCGTTAGCGCTAGCACTGTTCCTCCTATACTTCCGGCAATCATCGCAAACCCTGTCAGACGCTCCCAGAACATTGACAACACTATTGGGACTACTGCAGAGTTGATCGTTACACCCATGAACAAGTAAACGGTGGAAAGATTGATCTGGAACATTCACCGAGCATTAAATTATGTTAGGTTATGTTAAAATACAATTCCCTTAGCTAAGCACAGTGTTAATGTTGACCTGAAACGTAAATAATGTGTTATGTAATAAAAGAACATATTCCCTGAACGAATCGTCTGCCGTATTATCTGCAATTGATGATTAAATTGCATTACACCTTATGGCAATACGTGTTCCCAAAGGTCTGCTTAAATCAAAATTTTATTGGGAGTAGTCGAGAAGCGGTATGAATATATTTCATATCGTTTCACGATAATTTTACAAAATTAATATTTCAGACACCATCATTTCCATAATGATGTAAAATTTATCAATATTTCGCTACGTCCAGCATGTGAACTATATGAAATATCATCATTTTAAAGAGATGATGAAGCTGCTTTTATTTCATAACGTTATTAAATTGTCAACTTTGATATCAAAGTGTCGCACCATGTTTTACCCTTAGCCTTGTTTAATGCGTCAAAACCTTTTAGCTATTCTGTTTATGTTTGAAATAAAATAATAAAGTATCTTTCCCAAAAGAACAGTTAAATTCGTACAACTTAGTACAAAAGTGCAGACACACTCTTAAAATACATCATCAGACAGTTTTCTTTCAACAGACATAATATTTTTACTAGGCGTGTACATGAACGAGATGATGCTTTTAAAATTCGTGTATTTCATCTACCTGTAATACATATAAATTCGGCCAGCATCGTCACTGTTTATGTGTTTTTTATTCATTTGAAAATGTAAGTTTAAAAGACTCCATGGTTTGACAATACGGACGTTTATTCATCATTATATTACACGGAGGATGGCGAAATATACCGAGCTTTCCGATGATGCATTATTAAACTTATCTTGCGCTGCGGAAAATAGATATATAACTGTTAAAACACATACTTGCAAGGTGTGGAGGAGTAAGGTAAGAGGCAATATTGCAATGGTTGTCCAAAATAAACCTTTGTTCTTTAAACGGGATAAATAATCCGTGTATTCTCGGTACGCCCCGTGGGTCCGGCATGTATAGGAAGGCAAAGGAACCCGCTGCGACTCGCTACGTTTCCTGTATAAATTGAAATCATTAATTAAAATCATGTTTGGCTTTTTTGAAGATCAAAAATAGAAATGAATTACTAAAATATAAAAAATTAAAAAATTAAAAAAACTAACCATTTTAATGATCTTCTTAATAACAGAAACCCGCCAAAACACGTAAACAAAAACATGTCACAAATAAAATAATAAATAATTATAAGAAATGATAACGTAAATTTAATTTAGTTTTAAAGATTCCACAATGTCATTTTAGTTGACAATAAGCTGTCGATGCATCATATTAAATAAATTTATGTTCAGAAACAAACAGCAATAAACTTCGAATATGTTTTTTTTTTCCTTATTTTACTTCCTGGCCCTTATTTTTAGAAGATAACAACCCGCTTCATTGGTGCAACAATACATTTAGTTTGAGGTGTTTTCGGGTATTCAAAATTCACATAAAAATGAAATATATGATAAAAAAATGTTGCAATATGTAAAGGAAAATACTTGCTTGTTGTCTTTGTCGCAATGTGCACACACTGTCATACTTTCACATGTACACATATCTCGAACACATGACTTACGACCCCGACCTTTCCCGCATAAAATGCAGCTGTTTGCATCAAGTACTCGTCTGTATGGCTATAAATAGATCTTTTTGTTCATGAATAGAATGGTTTCTTATAATATGATATATTTAGGAAATAGATATCAATTCTGAGTGCATTGTTGTAGAATAATGCACGGTTTGAGTTCAAATGCGTAGTAATATAATCACGAAGGCCGATAGGCCTGAGTGATTAATTACAACGAATTTTAACGAAAAACGTGCATTATTATACAATAATGCACGAAGAATTAATATCTATTTCCATTCTAATACGTCAAGAAAAAGTATAATTATTATTATAAAGTTGGACTTTATGTTTGGTGGTTAAATTTGTTTTCGCCTCAGAGTTTCCAATAGAAACGTTCTTTAAAGGCTGTTCCAGTGGGTTGAAAAAAAACTGTCGTTAAATCTACTGTGTGAAGAAACATTTTGAGAATAACGAATTTTGAAAACGTTGATAAAACTTTGTTTGTTCATTTTATTTCACTCCATAATTTTTCAAGCAAAATACAAATTATTAAAAGTGAAACAAATGTTAAACCTAACTTGTCTGCGATATTAAAATAACGTACTTGATTTGATTGTTTTGCACGTGCTGTTTGGCGCTACATTGTGACGTCACGTAAACAACACTTTAAACGTCTGTACAGCGTTAACGACTGAATTAAAGATATTGGTGTTCGGATTCACTTTCTTAGTTAGACCGTTTTCTATCATTCTAGATAGTTTTCACAACAAAATTCGACAAAAAATTGTTTTTATTTATCAGATTTTTAAACAAAATGGCGCCCTCAATGTGAAAATATACAGGGAGATAATAAGAACGGCGAGTGCATTGTTGTAGAATAATGCACGCTTCCGGCCTTCTTTGTCTATATAGGAAAATTTCCGATAGTGTTAGAATGAATGGTCATCACCAGAAAGAAGTACCAATGAATATCTCTCCTTTGTCATAAAAGAAGCAAAATATTAACGTGATGACTTCTATGCAAAATACGAAATCGCTTTAACTGAATTATTTAAGTGAATTACGTACTCGCCAAAAGCAAGCAAGAGGTGGTTCAGATATATGGCCAACGAATAATTTTTGGAAACTATAATATGACGTCAAATATGAAGAAACAAATATTTCAGGGATTCATTCGGCTTCTTATATCCTAATTATTTGTCAGCCAGCGCTTTAAAAAGTGGAACATGTGTAATAAAAGAGAAAAATACTTGGTGTTGGCAATGAATTTAAAACCCCATTAATACTAGATACAAATTTGAGGATATTTCATGAAGTTTATTACCTTTTGGCTCATCACCGGTTACCCACATAGTACACGATAGATAATGTAGTATGCTTGTATACCGTATGCAGTACGTATGGAATATATACCGTGGGTAACAGATTATACTCCTTGCTAAGTTGACATATCATTCAATCAAAGAACTAAATGGATCATATCGGGAAATCAATTTACTATACATGCAATTATGTTGAGAAGAAAGAAAATAATACCTTTAGATACAGCTGATAAATATCATAAACAACTATTGATGTAGCAGCGAGAACTTCGGCAGAGCCCGTAGATACAACAGCCATTAGAACCATCACTATCACCATCATTTCACCAGCCTTACCAAACATTCGCTGTGCTACCACTGGTAGTACCAATCCTGAATTTCGTCATTAGTACTAGATTATTTATGTTTAGTTCAAATATGACGTAAGTTCAAATTTGGAAAAATAAATCATATAATCATTAGACCATTGAATTTATAGTTTGCCCTTCACCGTGTCTGGTATAGATGCAATGCATGCATGTGCCAGTGTCGTGAAGATTGAGTAAAAGCTTTCTTAATGATTGATACTTAGAAAATAAACAACCGCTTTGTGTTAATCATAGTCAATTGATAAATATGGGTGTTTGTGTTTGTAAGGCATAAAACTTGTTTTAAGTCTTTATAACAATATTATGACTCTGTATATTTGTGACGGCGATTTTCAGTAGACAATTGTAAAGACTAGATTTTTTTAAAAATTATTTTGATACAAATAAAATCTTTAAAAATCTATAATCAGTCCAAGATTCAGGGTACACGCTTTTTTAAAATAAAAATGGGACCATACGCTGCTTTTCGTTGATAGGCACTAACGTTTCATATTGATGGAGGTTCATTCAAAATTTCACCATGATTAAATGTTGAATTCTGTATAAACCAATGCTAAAGGACGTTGACGATAACTTCATGATAAATGACCTCTTTTATTTGTTTCATATATAAAATAAAATTGTTTCATTGCTGAACATAATAAAGAAATCATTATCTGATCCTAGTTGGAAAAAATCTGCAAAAAATGATTAAAGATTATAGCTGCCATTTACCTCGAACAATAGTATATATAATAACCATTTCAAAAATAATTACTACATCAAGAGAAAAGTTAGTTGCCTTTAATATAAAAGATTTAATAGTAAATTGAATACGTCAATCAATAGACTTAATTCTCCTTTCAATTTATACCGTGCCTTATAAGTCATACCGGAATATGCGATACATAAGTACATTAAGGTGACTTAATATTGCTAGTACAGAAGTACTTGAAATGTAATGCCTTGCTTTATTTCTGGTAAAGGAGTAAATGCAATGGTACACTTGATTTATTTCTGGTTGAAAAATACATCATGGATCAGGCAGCATATATTTTTTTGTTCTTGCACGAACGACCATATTGGTAGACCACAAGACTAAAAGACATTCTCTGACAATACATTTAATAAATGACCTAGAGATCATTGAATAAAAATATAAAAGTGATTTAACCTGTGTCAACATCTATGTCTGAAAGTAGTGGTTGACCCTGTTGAGCCCCAAGTGCAATATAAGCCAGACCCATTGTAGTTGCTAGCGCAAAAGGTATAGAAAACCATACGAGGCCTCCAGCTAGAAACCCCAACACCCCTTGTCTAGGCTTTGCAGCAACGCTACTCTGCCAGTAAGATTGGTCCACGTATGTCGTTCCAAAACAGCCTGTATTACAAATATTTTCTGACAAATTTAAACAAATTGATATTTTATAAACTTCAATTCATTATTCTCACTTACACTCTTACTTGTACTTTAAATATTTATAAAGAATCTTAGCCAGAATGTCCTTAGCATTTGTTGTTGAGTTGTTCCTTTTTCTTGTTTATGCTTATTTGCACAATGAAGGTTTACATAGATATTTGTTAAACAATTAGACATAAGATGTAAACACCGACAAATGATTGTGAAGGAGTTAGAGGGAAAATTATTTACTTACAACAGTTTTTAAGCTTCATTTGTAAGAACCAACATGTTGTCGCTTAGATTTGATTATTTCAGACTTATGATAACACAGTTGTTAAGTACATTTTAAGTACATATTTTACCCGCAACGTTAATCAAGCCAAACACAAGACCAGAGTTAGAAACAAGCGTAAGGTAACTGTGATCTTCGTTGCCATCTGGACCTTCACTGCAGGACAGATATTTGTACACATTTTCTTCTGTACCTATTAAGAGAATTTACATAAAAACATTAATACCAGCTTCTATCTTATTTCAGTATAGTTTATAGTGATACAGCTGACAAAGTTATACATATAACGATTAACACAATCAGTTCAAACATATATACATTGTACACTATAGTTTCAACGAACCGACAGTGACAAGCATGTGCCGCTGATATACAGCCGAGCTAGCTTGAACTACCAATGCACTAAAGTACAATCTGACCAGGCTGACAAACTAATGATTTTCATCTAGATATCCCCCTAAAAATAAAGACGAGGTCTTTTTAGAAATATAGCAGGTTTATAAAGGGTTAATAAACAGTATCTGTAAAAAATTAATAGGCTCTTCAATAAAATACCTCTTATTGTTACATATCATTAAAATAATAATAATAATCATTAATAAATAAAATACAGAATATGCCTAAATAAGTTAATAAATAACATTTAGATGGATTGGTGAACATTATCTTAATGTGGTCTTTGTATTATACCTAATGGATTTGTGTCATTATGCCCACTGTCGTCATACACACGTATAACAAATACCAACATCATTATCATGATCATTGCTGTGTTGAAAAATGAGACATAAAATGTGGCACCCAGTCCACCTATACACGTGTATGTACCAATAACAGCCGTCATCAACATTGCTGCGTACTCTATACCCATATCCTTTGTCAATCCAGACAAAACAGCTGAACCACCTGAAGTATTTATAAAATTATTTTCAAGAGCATACCTCAACTGTTCAATCACCTGCATTTTCATTTAGAAACCCACTGACCCTATTGTTAGATATACAAGTGTCTTTAAATACAAAGATAAAGTTGTTGAACATCCTTAAATAGTAAAAACAGTCATTTTTACTAATATAGAGTTTCAAAACCTCCCGAAATCTTACAAAATGTCTCTTTCTAAATATTGATAACTCTAAGTTTAAAGAAAACAGAATTGCTAAAGAAAATCCAACACGGCAATATTGAAAATATTACAGACATTTTATTACTGTGACATGTTACAACTGTGTACTCAGTGTTGTAAACGCCTCATTGTACCCCCTAGCCCGTCTCACTACTTAAATATTGTCTATGTGTCTATGTTTGCTTACAAAGCGAGAGCTACAAGGCCTTCTGTTTTTTTTTAATTTTTGTATCTTTGTTTATACAAAGACAAAACTACAAGACCGTATAATTGAAAATAAGTCTTTTTTGTCCACAGAGGAAGAATTAATGTGCACCTGTAATATTCAAAATGAATTCTTATTTCAAATGTTAATTTTGTCCTAAACGAAGGTTTAACAATGTTTATTTGTATGCAAATCATTTTATACCATCCGATTTCAGAGAAACAAATAATTTTATGCAAAAATTCATACAATTTATAAAGTGGAGGAATCATAATTTGCTTCTCATGCAAAGCTACATGCTAACATAAACAGTTTACATATTTTCAATAATTCTTGTGTTAAGGAAAGAGAAGCATTCACAGGAAAGAATGACAAGGGACAAGCTTACTCTAGTATACCCCGTTCAAACCATAAGATAGAGTGAAATAGACTCCCTTAAGAAAGCCCAAAACTGCAAAATTGAAATATTTGCAGGTTCGGTAGTGTGATTGAGCCATAAACCTTTAATAATACTGAAAACAATAACTAAACACCGACTTTGTCTTGGTTATAAGACAAGATATAGAAAAAATATATAAATTTGGTTTTCTCTTTTTAATCTAGAAAAAAAGGTAAAATTGACGAAATAGGATATTAGTACTATTTGATTGAACACGTGTCGTGTCGCTTCCTACTGGATTAGCTTTGACAAATACAATATGATTACATGAGATATGAGAGCCAATTTAGAGTTATGAACAGATCCTGGCAACATGAAACATAAAACGTTAATGAAAAGAAAAATCGATGCCCATACTGAACTCACCTGTCATTGAGTTAGCTGTGACAATGATATTTGTAAGCAGTGCGTAGCCTACAAACACCTTGTGTGTATTGGCCCCATACCGAGCTTTTATCACTTGCAGGAACGTTTTTGCGCCAGGGGCTCGAATCTTTAGCTGGACGGACACCATGGCAAACAAGAGTATCTGTATGGTTGCGCCTGCAGCATACCAGAATGGACCACTGATTCCATACTAAAACAAATAAAAGAAAAACAAACGAGTGAAAACAGATTTTAAACAATAATTGAAATAAAGAAGTGTTTCTGCCTTTCTTTTCTTTTACTTAATCAGAAAAAAATTTGGTTATGCTTTGTGATGCGTTGATATATTTTGTTGGAATTTTCCACCAAAAGAATGTTGTAATTTTAAGGCTCAGTTATTGTGCACTTATCGATTCAGTACAGCTTGTGTCAACATCTCTGAACTTGGTGTCTGATTCAAGTGCGTGACCTCCTTAAGAACTGACCGACGGATAAAGATTTCAACCATTGCCATTGTGATTAAGGATTTTTAATATAATTATATCACTCAACGTTAACTAAGCGTCATTATTATCTCAAAATTTTATCAAAGGTATAAACATGTTGTTTTTTACATCGGTCCATTTTACATGGCACACGCTATGATAAGACGGCATTTAAGTTAAGAAGAGTTGTGGAGGCAGGTTTGCAGGGATGGTATAGCTGGGGGAAACAGACTGTAAGCCTTGGAAATGTACCAGCAGTATAGTTCATCCGTCAGGATGTATTGTGAAGGCAGGCAACGGGTGACAACAACAGCTCAAGACTGATTCTAGATCATTCTGGCGGACTGATCTTGTTGTGTTAAATTTTGGAACTCTATGCTAGGGCAGTTGGGGATCAGTTCATTATGGATGATAATGCGCGCTCCGGTATGGCCGTTGTCCAGAACTACCTGCAGTGTGAGGGTATTGAGCGCCTTGACTGGTCATCTCGATAACCAAACCTAAATCCAATTAAATTTGAGGACATGAGATGTAAAATGATATACATAACTAATGCAAAATCAATAAAACGATGTTAAATGTGTCCTTCAATCAAATTGATTGAACGTGAATTTGTCATTAAAATCACTGGCACAACGGTAATCAAATCAATTCCAAAAATACTCACATTAAAACATTTGGCGCCTAGCAAACGTTGAGTAAAGTACTAGTGACCATAAGAATAACTTATTATGGTAAAAATACATTACTAATCGAACATGAATTTCTATTTCACGGGCACAATATTTATTCATAAATAAATGAGAGATGTCACGATTTTGAGAAATCAACTAAATATTAAACATGGAAGATTGTTATCAATACAAGTATAAATTTAAAATTAAATTTATTGATAAATATATTTATAATTGACCCAAGGATAGGTGTTGTTGCTGAAATATGCTCTGGTGAATCCTATTGCACTGATCTACAAAAAGCTCTACCACGCTCCACCCTTACACCCACCTCTCACACTTGTAAGTGTGATTAAATGAGGACTATGTATTTCTGGTAGATTGTATTATATGATATATGTTTGCTATGCATTATGTAAGGATTCAGGAAGAACAGCCTACGTAGAGACTTAAGTTATATTAATCGTTCATGATCTATTACATTTTAGCATGAATTCGGAAATAAGTCAATACATTACGTCATTTGGTGTTCTTGAAATAGAGTTGTACTTCCCGATATCAAAATATTTAAAATATAATCAAACACGCATTTAATGGTTTTCAGAGAAAACTAGGGACAAATATGATTTATTATAAAATAGATATTTATACTCTTTTTTCCACTCTTAATTTTAGATCAAGATTATGACTTTTTGTATAACATTTTTAAACACTGCATACATGTCTTATCTAAGTATGATATAATAGTATTTTATGTAGCTCTTGTGACTGCGGGGTGGCCTTTTAGAGATAAGGTATCATAATTGCAGCCACCGTTTATCCCTGTGTGATCGTAAAAGGCGACTTAATTGTTTCAAATTACTGGCGTCTATACATCTTTTGGCTCCTGCAGGGGAAGACGTTTGACCCCTGATTTTCCTTTAAGTTTGTAACACCCGAGGTTAGCCAAAATCGTCTTTCCTGTTTCGACGCCATATGACCTAAATTGTGCTGGTACAACAAAACAAAACAAACAAAAAAGATATCTAATGTACGAGAAATATTAAATGAATTAGACAAATAATTTTTAAATCAGTGCGAAAACTGACCAGCTTATTTCCTTATTGCACTCATTTTTTGTTTTTAAGGTATGATTTAACATGTTCGTTGCACGAAAGTCTGTTACTGAAGTAAGTGCTAGCATGGTTTAGTTTGTTTATGCTTCTTAAGTTTCCAAGTTCGAATTTGTAATTTAATTTTCTTTGACATTATGTTAAAAGAAAATGCCTCTATGGTCGCTCCTTTGAATAATAAAAATGAAAAGGTGCTTGCAGCAGTTCACAAATGATTGAAGAACATTTGAATCAAATCAGGATGTAATTACGTAAAGGAACTTACTCCACTAAGGTCTAAAAGCCTAACAATATAAAATTTGAATGTTTTTTAATAGGACATTTATAACAGAAAGATTTGCAAAGGATAATTAAAAAATAAACCAAGAATTTATTAAATATCGTATTTTTGTGTTATTCTTAGCCCGGTTTGAGAGAAACGCGTAGCAATTCATTTCAATTTTTGGTCATTTTTTCACAATTAGACTGAATAATCATTATGGACAACCGGAGTAAGCGAATGATCTGAAATTTGGCACACAAGTTAACACTATAGTTTACGGTCTACACTTACAACAAATGGATCTGGTAAATAAATTGTAATCTCTTAAATTATTCCTTGTCAGGGGAGTCTCTTTAAGATCAATTGATAAAAATTGAATGTCAACTGTTTAAAATATAATGTTGTTGTAAAAAATCTAATTGACGTTGATCAACTAAAGACATGCGGTCTTGAGAAAATAAAAAATGCTAGTACGTGCATGATACTTTTCTCTAACACAAGGTTAGATAATAGTTTGGTTTTCATAAAAGCAGAAATTGAGAAGGAAGAGTCTGTAATGATTAGCAATTACTGAACCTGAATATAAAAGCCAATTGTGAAACGGATAATTATATATTGTATACCGTTTAAAAATCGTTCCATTTTTATCATATCACGTCTCGTTCACGTTACATTTTATCGTTCTAATTTGACGAGTTCTTTATGAGATGACCTTACAACGTTAGTAGGCTTTCATTCAAATACAACAAAGTGCCCTGGGATAAACAATAAATTGAACACTAGTATTCAATGAAAAAGAATAGAATAAAATCTTCTTCAAAGTAGTAATTGTTGAGATTTTAGCATTTGAAATTCCGCAATATTTACGAGAAAATTTAAGTTTAACACGCACTATGAGATTTGTTACCATGGTATTCTTCGACTCTGAGTAGGTTATTCTTTTCACAACCGATTAGACATGGAAATCTTTAATGGCTTTAACGAAGTTGAAAAGCTTTTCATTGCGTCTCACAAGAAAGTATTGCTGCTCTCGAGGGTATTTCTTCTGTCTGCAAATGTATTGACGATAAAACACGTTTTGTGTGTAAAAAAACGTTTCTAGTGTTGGTTGATAATAGAAATAGGGGGAAAAGGTTGGTAATAAAGAGTTAACGCATGTTTCAAATTATTTGTAGCAGGGATCTTTAGGTGGTATTTCTAAAACTTTGATTTTGATGAAACATATGCTAGAAGCAAACAAGTATGCATGAATAATTGTTCTTGTAGCCTAGGCATCCAGTCCGAAATATAATTAATACAAAAAAAAACAACATTAAAATTCAATGAAAAAAAAACAACAGACAATGACATGATCATAATGGGACAATGAATTACATTATATTGTACTGTATACATGTACTATATTGCAAAGTATCTTAAAAATACATAATAATGATTTAATTTTATTTCTTTAGGTTTTCTGTTTATTAGTATACATTTTTAAGAAATCAGGTTAGTCGTGTGATGAATTCGGTCTTTTCGTGTGGGGCGGTGGTGGGGTAAGATTTCTGGCAATAATGAAGTTATACCGGAGAGTCTCTGTTTAGAACCATATTATTTGGAAAAACAAATTACATCCTGTTAATCCCGCTATGAATGGCCAATAAGAAGGTTGTTTAAAATAGAAAAAAATCTATATTGAATCCATGATCGCCTCTATTTTGAGTGTAATCTTAAACACTTTAAAAAAAGAATGAAGAATGCATTATTTAGTCACAAAATAGAGAGAAATAAGAATCCTAAAGAAAGCCCAACACGGCAAAATTTAAAATGTTGCAGGCTCGGTTTGATTGAGCCTGTTCATGGACGGTACTGTAAAGTGCAAACTACCGTTCACGCCCCCTAGCACCGGCTTAAGCAGAATTCAACATTTAACATGAACTGGTAAAATTTTGAATTTTGAAACATCCGCAGATGTGTTCATATGGCGGTTATGGCCCAAACTGTTTTGTGAATTTCACATGCCTTGAAACTGTAAAGCAATATACCGCTTGCCTACCAAGATAGCATCACGGGTTGGATTAGCCAAACGTAATACTCTTTCAAAGATGATGTTTGACACCCATTCTTATAGCTAGAAATGTTCAAAATAAGAAATGGGGATAAGAAAATTTAATTTTGCCAATAACACTAAATTAAAAGCAAAGTTTGCCCATTTTACAAACTCAGAAGAAAACAATTAAATGTAAGCTTGATTCAGGCAAATGTATCATTTGCCACAAAGGGACGTTAATGAATATCTAAGAAACTCCTTGGATACGCAAACTGTCAGTTCCTTCAAACTGTCAGTTGCTTCCGCCTTAGCAGAAATAAAAGCAACCATTATTGAAATAAATAAAAAAGAAACCTTGTCATGAAGATAAACAGAATAAAAGAGGAATTGCATTTAATATGTTTCTAAAATGGTATTGATCGTGATCTTTGTAAACAGTGATACAACATCATTATCAACATAACGTTAGTTAAACAGCGGATATTCATTATTATAATAATGCCTTTATGAACGCGCTTATTGTTTTAGTTTTGTGACAACAGATATGAAAGCTGGTATTGCCATACGCAAGTGTTCGAAAAGGTTTTCAAAAGTTATATAGTTCTAAGTGTTTTGACAGTATACTATGTACAGATTTGACTGGGTTTTTTTAATCATTAAATTTTCCGTTGTTTCTTTTTGACATTTTTCCTTTTCTTTTTCTGTCACAAAACGAATCTAGAAGAAGCTTATTTCCTCTATGCTTTATATAACTATCGGGTTAATCTGGAAATGTCAAAGAGACGTTGGCGGATATTAGTTTCCAGATTCCGACCATTATTGCAGGACAATTAGATATCAATAATTGTAATTAAACATGTGATTACATTTTGTAAGATGTGAAAATGGATGGTCACATTGTTTTTGTTGGAAAATTGTTGTTTTGGTTGATTTTACCCCAAGAGGTAAAGTGACATTTGCTCATTCTTTTATTGTCAAGCTGAACTGCCTTTATATTTCTTATTTCCGAAGAATGGCTGTTATCATGATAAATGACCAACATAATAAATATAAATGTGCCTAAAATATAAAAAGCCTGCCTCACTCTTTTTATAAATTAAACAGATAAGTCTTGGTCGATATCTATGGCCAAATGAGTTATTTATTGTTTATGCGAAGTAAATTTTAAGAGACAAATTGTAAACTTATTTTGACCTTCACCTATTCATTCACTATGTACTCTTTGATAGGCATAATGTCATTTTAAATCGCAGATATTCTTACATCAGGTAAGGAAAACATGTAATGTAAAGTAATGTAACGTAATGCATTGTAATGTAATGTTATGTAATGGAATGTTATGTAATGGAATGTAATGTAATGCATTGTAATTCAATCATTTACAAGTTCCCATAAGGACAACATGATGAAAGTTAATGTAGGAAATATAATTCTTACCTTACTAGCCACAACACAGGAATAGAGCAGTGTAGCAGCCCAAGTCCACTGTGACACAATCGTTGTTGCTGTTAACCCCACACTCACCTTTCCTCCTGCGTCAAATGCTGTGTCTAATGTATTCTGTAAATTTAAAAAAGACGTCAAATATGCCTTGTTGGGTACGAAAAGGTCAAATAATAAGGCTAAAGAACCTAATGTGAAAGTCACTCCCAATGTATTTGATTTTTTACCTCGACACATTACGTTAAATCGACTATAAAGATTAAAATGTGTCATTTATATTCTTGAAAATATTCTAATCTCAGAGGAATATGCAAAGTCAACTTTGATCAACAGAAAGAATAAGAAACATCAAAAATATTACGTGTGTATTTGTTGCATGCTTGGTTGTTTGTTTGTTTGTATGTTTTATTTTTGTTGATGATGTTTTTATTGTTTTGTTTTGTACTTTTTTGGGGGGAGGGTGTAGTATTTTTTGTCACGTCGTCAATTTCTCATGAAATACATGAAAAGTAGAAAACCCATGTATTTTAATCATTTACAAGATCACATAATGATCTATTAGGGTCCATGAGGCTAGATCAAGAATTAAGGTTCCTCGAACAAAGATTTGTAGATTAGAGTTTATAGCTAATTAGATAAGATTGCGAGCCTCTGCATTTATTATATTTTGACATTTTTGCAATGTACAATACAAATATAAAAAATATCACAACCTTATCCTTGTAGACATGTTTCCTGATGAACTTAAACAACACAGCAATTAGTGTTGCAAACACTCCGAATCCGATCACCAGAAGTAGTGTCTCGTGCAGCTCAACCGACGACACAAGACCTTGTACTGCAGTGTAATTTCCTTTTGCAAACAGAGCTTTACATTCACTTGAATTAGATCGCCGCATTGTAGTAATATTGGATGTCCTTCAATTCCTTCTATTTCGAAATTCTTGTTTCTGTTTATATACCTTTATTCCATTTTTGTTAGTTTGTTATTATAAAGACTGCATTCAAATATTTTGTGTATTGTTTCCTTTTATCTCGAAACTTTTGGAAATAATTCTATTCCGGAGTTAACTTGCCGTGTGTATACATGTATTTGAAATAAAACAACGAATTAAATAATCTTCTTCTTCAGTAGCGTCATTTATACATCAAATACCATGATGTACCAACAGGCAACCACCACCGGCAATGTGTCCTTAACTTTTATGGTTCAATTCAATATAATCATATATTATTCCATGACTTCTCTATAAAATATTCACTGCAACAAGTCTTGCTCTTTATCTAACGAGTGCTGTGATAAATTTATATTCATACTGATCCAGTCACATTAATTATTCCAATACATTTGTCGTTCTCAGGTAGGCGATTGAAAATGACAAGGCAATTCACGAGGAAGTTATTTTTAATATAGACCATTTTAAATACACAATTTTCCTTTTAGCAATCTAGATAAAAAAAAGAGAAATGTCTTAATCATAATTATGATTTTCAGTGCCAAGTTGCTACAATGTTTTATTGATATATTGTTTGGTGTTGAGGAGATAAGCCCTACCTTTCCCCTTCAAATCCTTAATTATAGTGGTACTGGTGGTGTTGGTAGTTTAACCTCAAGATCTCGACAGTAAGTCACAGCACAGTTCAGCACAGTTCAGCCACCGCATCTTTCCAGGACAGGCTATCAAGCAGTTAACCATTTGTTTCACTTCCGCAAGGAACTGATAACTTCTGTACATGCCAAAAAGCCATGCGGAAATTTGCTGGACATTTTTCTTTGGTTACGGTTTTCGGCCTTATTTTGTGCAAGGAAAACCTTCTAAAATTGTACAAATTCGAAATAGCAACTGAAAAAGTCATAAAGTTTTTTACCTGATGATTTTTTCGAAAAGATGTACAATTTACACAAAGAAAGAACAAATCGCCGGTTCAAAAAACGACCAAGCCATGCGGAAATTTCCTGGACATATTTCTTGGGTTAGGGTTTTGGGCCTTATAATGTGCAAAGAAGACCCTCCAAACATGTACAAAATCGAATTTGAAACATTATTAGTGAAACGGTTTGTAACGGTTGGCACGAGAAAATGTTTTTTTACGAAATTTCTTTGACTTTATATACTTAAAGAACTAATCGCCTGTAAAAAGGCGACCATTTTACGTGGCGCTCTGGTTGTAATTTTTTGATTGAGTTAGAACTTTGAGCGTTATATGACTGTGACGAAGATCCTCTGAATAAAATCAACTTGGTCATTTTTTAATGTATTTTTCAAGGACATAGCGTCCATTTAACAATGGCTAACATATCAATTCCTGGAAGTACGTGCTATAAAGCGCGTTTTTGTCAAACAAAACTTAATTACATTTTTGTAAAGTTGTAAGACCACTGTGTCGTGATCGATCAAACTAATGTAAATCTCAGATTGTCTCCATAATTTACTTCGATGTGTTCAGTCGATCTACGGTTTTAGAACAAATTATCAAATCGCTGTCCAAACACGACCATGCCACGCGGAAAACCCTTGATCATATTTCTTAGGTAAGGGCTTTATGCCTTATAATGTGAAAAGAAGACCCTCCAAACTTGTACAAAATTAAATTTCCAACTGAATTAGTAATATGGTTTTTCAACTGTTGGCTAGAGAAAATGATGATTTTTTACGAAAAATTTATACAATTTATATACAGAAAGAACAAATCGCCTGTTCAAAAAATGAGCAAGCCATTCGGAAATTTCCTGGACATATTTCTTAGGTTATGGTTTTTTGCAAAGAAGACCCACCAAACTTGAACAAAATCGAAAAAAAGAACCCAAAACAAAGAACTCTGGTCATCATTTACACCCAAAACAAAGAACCCTGATCATTATTTGCACCCAGAACAAAGATCTCTGATCATCATTTACACCCAAAACAAAGATCTCTGATCATCATTTACACCCAAAACAAAGAACCTTGTTCATTATTTACACCAAAAACAAAGAACGCAGATCATTATTAACACCCAAACAAAGAACCCAGATCATTATTTACACCAAAAACAAAAACCCTGATCATTATTTACACCAAAAACAATGAACCCAAATCATTATTTACACCAAAACAAAAAACCCTGATCATTATTTACACCAAAAACAAAGAACTCTGATCATTATTTACACCAAAAACAAAGAACCCTGATCATTATTTACACCCAAAACAAAAAACCCTGATCATCATTTACACCCAAAACAAAGAACCCTGATCATTATTTACACCCAAAACAAAGAACCCTGAATATCATTTACACAAAAAACAAAGAACTCTGGTCATCACTTACACCGAAAACAAAGAACCCTGATCATCATTTACACCCAAAACAAAGAACCCTGAACATTATTTACACCCAAAACAAAGAACTCTGGTCATCACTTACACCCAAAACAAAGAACCCTGATCATTATTTACACCCAAAACAAAAAACCCTGATCATCATTTACACCAAAAACAAAGAACCCTGATCATTATTTACACCAAAAACAAAGAACCCTGATCATTATTTACACCCAAAACAAAGAACCCTGATTATTATTTACACCCAAAACAAAAAACCCTGATCATAATTTACACCAAAAACAAAGAACTCTGGTCATCACTTACACCCAAAACAAAGAACACTGATCATTATTTACACCCAAAACAAAAAAACCTGATCATCATTTACACCAAAAACAAAGAACCCTGATCATTATTTACACCAAAAACAAAGAACCCAGATCATTATTTACACCAAAAACAAAGAACCCTGATCATTATTTACACCAAAAACAAAGAACACAGATCATAATTTACACCAAAACAAAGAACCCTGATCATTATTTACACCAAAAACAAAGAACCCTGATCATTATTTACACCCAAAACAAAGAACCCTGATCATTATTTACACCAAAAACAAAGAACCCTGATCATTATTTACACCCAAAACAAAAAACCTGATCATTATATACACCAAAAACAAAGAACACAGATCATTATGTACACCCAAAACAAAGAACCCTGATCATTGTTTACACCAAAACAAAAAACCCTGATCATCATTTACACCAAAAACAAAGAACCCTGATCATTATTTACATGAAAACAAAGAACCCTGATCATCATTTACACCCAGAACAAAGAAACCTGATCATCATTTACACCCAAAACAAAGAACCCTGATCATTATTTACACAAAAAACAAAGAACGCTGATCATCATTTACACCCAAAACAAAGAACCCTGATCATCATTTACACCCAAAACAAAGAACCCTGATTATTATTTACACCCAAAACTAAAAACCTGATCATTATATACACCAAAAACAAAGAACACAGATCATTATGTACACCCAAAACAAAGAACCCTGATCATTGTTTACACCAAAACAAAAAACCTTGATCATCATTTACACCCCAAACAAAGAACCCTGACCATTATTAACACAAAAAACAAAGAACACAGATCATTATTTACACCAAAAAACAAAGAACACAGATCATTATTTACACCAAAAACAAAGAACCCTGATCATTATTTACACCAAAACAAAGAACCCAGATCATTATTTACACCAAAAACAAAGAACCCTGATCATTATTTACATGAAAACAAAGAACCCTGATCATTATTTACACCCAGAACAAAGAACACAGATCATTATTTACACCAAAAACAAAGAACCCTGATCATTATTTATATGAAAACAAAGAACCCTGATCATTATTTGCACCCAGAACAAATATCTCTGATCATCATTTACACCCAAAACAAAGATCTCTGATCATCATTTACACCCAAAACAAAGAACCTTGTTCATTATTTACACCAAAAACAAAGAACACAGATCATTATTAACACCCAAACAAAGAACCCATATCATTTTTTACACCAAAAACAAAGAACCCTGATCATTATTTACACCCAAAACAAAGAACCCTGATCATTATTTACACCCAAAACAAAGAACACAGATCATTATTTACACCAAAAACAAAGAACCCTGATCATTATTTACATGAAAACAAAGAACCCTGATCATTATTTACACCCAAAACAAAGAACCCTGATCATTATTTACACCCAAAACAAAGAACCCTGATCATTATTTACACCAAAAACAAAGAACCCTGATCATTATTTACACCAAAAACAAAGAACCCAGATCATTATTTACACCAAAACAAAGAACCCTGATCATTATTTACACCAAAACAAAGAACCCTGATCATTATTTACACCCAAAACAAAGAACCCTGATCATTATTTACACCCAAAACAAAGAACCCTGATCATTATTTACACCAAAAACAAAGAACCCAGATCATTATTTACACCAAAACAAAGAACCCTGATCATTCTTTACACCAAAACAAAGAACCCTGATCATTTTTTATATCCAAAACAAAGAACCCTGATCATTATTTACACCAAAAGAAAGAACCCTGATCATTATTTACACCAAAACAAAGAACCCAGTATAATACGAAACGATACTATTAACACCAGTCCTGGCGAGCCCAAGCTCTAAATATCTTCAAACAAGACAATATAATCGCCACAACATAAAGCACATAAAATGAATTATTTTACAATGCAATAAACACTATAGACTACAAACATTCAACCAAAAAACATAAACTTCACAAAATCTAATCAGCATCGGAAAACAAGTTAAACTAAAAACACCTAATATTTACAGATATCTTCAATAACAAAGCATCAACTATAATTATCTTGACAAGAAAAAAACAATCAATACAACTCAGCCAATATCATCCAAATATATCTTACCAAACAGATATTATAACTCAACAACAATCAAAACAACTAATTGCATCCAATGAACCTTGATCAATTAAGATCATCAGGATAACATTCACAATCAAATTCAATAAATCAACAAAACTCCCTTCAAAACATCAATATTCTCTTCTCTAAAAATATATGCGCTAAGCCTACCCTAAACTGATGTCAATTTCTCCCACAACTCGCATGATAATTAAGAATATTCGCTAGCTTATCGATTTGACATTCACATGTAGACAAAGTTTATACATTATCATTTTCATTACTATTATTAGTGGTAGTAGAAGTATAATTGTTATCATTATTATTATTATTATTATTATTATTATTATTAATACAATTATAAATATCGTGATCATCATTATCGTCGTCGTGACGATCATTATAATATTAATATTTTATAATCTATAAAGATGTCTGCCCGTGGCTAGCAAGCAATGAAGTACCGGTAATGTAAATGTTTCTTTGAAGTTTACTTTCAGATTATTTTATCATTTAAAGCCATAATGAAGAAAGGTATTTCCGTGGATATATAGCTTAATAAAGATAACATTCGCCTGCAACGATGAGGATAATTAATATTCTTTAAGCCTTATTGAAATATTGATTAGTCTTTCATCTTTCTAGATAAAATTAATGATTTCGTTTAATTGTTTAATACAAATTGTTTAATATGAATATAGGGCTAAATCACGCGGTATTTAGACGGTCCTATTTAGACATCCTTGTGCGGCTTACAGGAACGTTACGGTGTCGGTGGATATGATTAAGTAAGGGACACAACCGAGTAATAATGGTACATTTGTATTGCCGAGGATCACTTCCCTCTAAATTACACAGAAACTTACCAAGAAACGCAGGAATGTGAAAATAACGCAGGCATTTTGAAATGAGTAGCACGGTAAGTAAACGGACAAACATGTTTTATAGTAAATTAAAAATGAGTAGCGGCGTGGCCGAGTGGTTAACCCGTTATTTAAGGATTGCTGACAGTGAGGGTTCAAATCCCGTCAGGGGCAAGCCGATGTTTCCTTGAACAAGAAACGTTACACTTATTGCTAAGTACTGGCTAGTTCCACAAACGGATTCTGGGGCGTTTCAATAAGCTTATAGCTTCCAACACAATCGAAATAAAATAAATTCCTATAAATTAAACTAAACTAAATTGAAATAAAAGACTAAGCGTATACGGCTGCTATGGCAATATACTTCCAGTCAGACTGGCCAGGGCCTATGCTGTTCTAAATTGTCAACCTAAATATGGAAAATTCCAAAAATGAAAACTGGATTCCGCTCCTTTGTTTGAATGGTAACAAAGGAAATGAATGATATTTTCTTATAAAAATTGCATGTATTTTAATATAGTTATACAAATATACAAGTACAATATATGAATATTATTCTAGTTCAACAAGTACATTTTCATGAGTAACATATAAAGATATAAATCAATAGTAAAATCTGCAAGTATACCAAGGTGAGAACATTGAACACTGGTCGTGACAAACTCCGCGCACCGGTTGCCGGTAATTCTGTAAGGGGAGATCACTGCGAGGGAGATTGTGATCGTGATTTCTTATCACCAGAAGTTTTTGAAACTCTGTAAAACATTTTAGAATTTGAGAGTGATTTTAAGTCTAGATTAACATTAAAGAATAATCTTAAGAATAAAGATTAGGTAAAATAGACAATATCGTAAATTTCTTTAATATAACTGAAATGAAATTGACATGTTAGACTCAGTCTTAAATCAACACAGATTATGTTGCGAGAATGCCTTTCCAACGAAGTAAAAAAATCCAATGCGATATACTAAGTACTTCGTTTGAACGTTTAGTGCTATACGGCACTCCATCTGAAGGTCTCAATGCTATATTTCACTCCATCTGAAGGAACTTTTGCTACTGACTCTTTACTGGATAGGAAATATTTTAATTATTTCTAGAAAAGTTCGTTTTGAAAAAACTAATACAGACTCTTGTGTCTGCACGTTCTCAATGACGTCATCATCTTAAAGCTCGGTTCGTAGGAAGTCACGTTTAATAAGTTTCAAGGAAGTAACAGTTTGCAGACAAAAAAAATGATTGAAAGTATCACCATGGTTATAATGTAAAATTTAATGGAATTGCATACATTGAATAACAGTTTCTGGATGGAATATAAAACCCGTATTTTTTCAGTCACACACTAAACTGTTTAATCATATAACATAACTATGTGTTTGCCGTCTGCTTCAACTTGGCAGTCCTTTCTTGTGTTTATTCTCAAGATCGTATGATTCTCCCTTCACAATGAACTTTTGCGCGCAAATAGAAGAAATAAAAAACAGAATACAGGCTACCCCCGACACGACAACCCACCACATCAAAACACCCACTGATAGTTTGTCTTTACTATACAGTAAACACACGCCTGATGATCCGCATAGACCTCCCGACCACATTTTGCAAGCGGCGTCTATCACTGAGCCGATAAGTACTGGCCCGGGGATCGAACCAAGAAGACGCAGGAGCATCCATCCAATACCAAGAGCCAATGGCCGAATTTCTTCATCAACGCATCTGAAAAAAGAAATTAAATTTGGTTGTTAACATACATGAAACGTCATGAATCTTCAGACATTTCAAAGTTCAAACAATAATTAATCTTTAATGAAGTTTATGAGTAAGGAATTAGAATATAATTAGAATATGACATTGCGTTTTTATTAAGTTTTGTTTATCCTATGGTGGTGGTTATGTACCATAACGAATTTCATAAAAAGGTAAAAAGATACAAACCAGCCACCGTACTTACGCATAGTTATGAGTCGTTCGTAAAGAAAAATGTCACAAACTACGTACAAAATTTATGTATAAACATGAGTAGCAAATGACGCTAGTCATTTATTTACTAGGTAAATGCAATTGTTTTATGTAAACATTAACACAAACAAAACAATCAAATTGAAACAAAGTCATTGTGAAAAAATGGAACAAAGATTGTTAAATTGTCAAGAAAAAAAGTTGTTCTCACTGTAGGCAATAGTAAATCATTGTAAGTGTGTTATCCATCTAAATCTTAAAAAAGGAGACATAACTTTTCTTAAAATCAATGCATAATAAATAGTTGTTAAATACATTTTTGTTAATGACAGACTAACATAAATATTTAATTTAATCAGTTGGAATGTCACTTTGTAAGCTCCAGTTGCAGGTAACAGTTACTAGTATATCTTCACAGTCCGTAGCGATGATATCAAATATATTTACCTCAGTGTAGCCATGGATGATGGCGTCGTGGCTGTTAACACCGAGATCATCATAATAAACAGACAAGGGGCCAGGATGTTCACTTTTGTACAACCATCATCACATCTCCCTGGCGACGCTTTCGTGTCCATGGTTACAGCGCTTCCTAAACTCTGGGCCACACAACTGCAGTTTGTGTATGGTTCCTGAAAATAAAATAAATCCTTGTTGATTTGATAATAAAAAGGACAATTAAGTTAATTAAGATTTAATGCCATAGAGTTAACAGCGGTAAAAAGACAAACACACAATTTGATTCTAACATATTTATTTAAGCTCGATTGCGAAACAAGTTCTTGCAACTTATATTAATCACTTTCAAGTAACCAACCAGTACTGGTGTTCTATGAAGAAACATGGTCGTGATCCGATTAAGGCTCAAACCACGGGCTTTCCACGGGTTGAGAGGCAGACACCTTAACCACTAGGCCTCTGCTTCCCTTAAGTGTATAATTTAATAAAGATATAAAACCATATAGTTAAAAAGAATAAACAGCGGTTCAAAACATCAAGTTTTTGCAATTAAACAACTTAGAAATATTTCAGCTATCATCTTTTTTCTGAGGTGGAACGATCAAAACGTGTGCTAATTGAATATTACGCAGTATATGTATTTATCAAATTTACAAATGGTGCAGCAGGTGTCCCAGAGCATCCGGCGTGGCACGCGGAGTAATACACTATCCTGTCATCTCCACAGACTGGATTAAATAACATCTTTTCACAAGAACATTGTGTGTTGCATCCAGCTGTGTACCCGTCTAACATACTGCAAAAGAAAGAGGAGCAAAATAGGAAGGTTATCCATACAGACCATGATTCAATCAATTCAGTGCCAAACTGACTTTGACTTACTTGTGGTATTTCTTTACTTGTTCGTATGCTATTTAAATACTAATTAGTGAAATTCTCCGAAGTTTCCACTTGTCCGTTATAATGGTACAGACTGTGGGACAACATTGGCAATACGGACAACTGATTTTGTCGCCTCAATCTTAACAACATACGTCACAACTCAATGAATTTCAAAGTTAAAAATCAATCGATTGATCCGAGAAAAAAACATTCGTTCTTTGAAAACTTATGGATGTTTGTTGCATTGACGTAAATAGAAGTTTGCAATATACAAAATGTGACATAGTTCGCAAATGACAATAAAAACAACAAAAACGATGAACGTTTTCATTAAAATATGTTTTATTCGAGAACTGAATTCTTCAACTTATTAAAAAATATCAATTGATCTTAAAAGAAAGATGTTATTGATACTGTATAAAATTCATACAGCCATTTAGGCAGCATTACCTTTAAATACTTGTTTTTAAAAAGTACGTTAAAGCGACCTTTAGCTTTCCTAACTTTAAAGTTAAAATAAATCGTTTTATATAATTTTCCAATTACAAAAATAAGATTGAAAATGAAATTTGCCGACGAAATAATACGGAAGCACCTCGAAACCTATAATCAACTGATCCGCTCTTTAAGCTGACGATATTCTATTTTTAGAAACGAACGTCACAGACGCTCTCGGGAAACTGTTTTGAAGAAGGTAAAGCTGAATTATAAGTTTTTACCTTTCATTCGGATAGGAGACCTCAAGCCCGGCAAGCTGTGTTTCCGGACAAGCGGCCAGGTACGATATGCCAAGTAAACAAGCTATCAGTGTTGCTATAACATTTAATCGTAACATTCCGACGATTTCTAGATGAAATATTCGTATGAGAAGTCCACCCAGGAACATACCAATCGAACCGACCAATATTAATCCACCTTCAAGCGTAAATTAAAAGCAACATTTGATATAAAAAGAATAAATGAATTACATTTATACTAGTGTTACAGAAAGATTTTTTTAAAGCTCTAAAAACAATTCTCAGTTCAATGACAAAAGTCCTTTGAAATTGCGCATGCCTGGCGCGCGGAGTTTTTCGATTTCCACCATCTTGTTTTAATATAGCAAAACATTTTAGATTCAAAATATTTTGGGACCTTGTCCCTTTTTAGCCAATTTGTATCAACATGATTTTATAAAGTCCAAAAAATGAAACCGAGTTGCATCGTGAAGAATCTACTGATTTACCTAATACATATACTCAAATCTTCCATTTATTGTTAAGAAATATTGCTGATGAAGTAGATTTTTTAATAGGTTTAACGAATTCATTAAACTCATGATCACAAAGCTTTAGACCAATTAAAACCCTTGTAATTCCAGTTACCTGTAATTAATATTTAAAAACTGTTGAAAATAATTCCAATTCCATTGAAGTAGATCTCGAAAACCCATTACATTTTGTACAATAAAACAGTCATAAACTGTTTAAAAAAATCATAAGGTGTAACATATCTAAATGTACAACAAGTCATTAAAGAATGATGTTAAATAGTTTAGTGTATCAATACCTAAAAGTATTCCCGCTGAGTCAAATCCCATATTAAACATTTCAGCAAGGTACTTGAAAGCAAAAGCGCTCACGCCAAATATGATGAGAGATTCTGCACAACCACCAAGAGAAATAAACACATATGTTGGATTCTTCAACTGAAATTATATTAATTTAGCTTTGAATATATGCACCCAAATGTACTCGAAACATACACAAATATGCACGTTGTTGTTTGTTGTTGTTTTGGGGTTTTACGTCAGCACAGTATAGGTCGTATGAAGACCTCAAGATAAAAAGACCTCAGGCACAATTGGGCATTTGGTATAAACATATATGTCTATAAAAATAGATTGATGAGAAAGAGAGCAAGGTGTTGAACAATATAGACCTTTTTACGACGCGGTCCGTTGTTGAAAAATCGACCGGAATTAGAATTTTCTCGCGCATGCGCAATCTGCGTAGGGCAAGAAATCCTTCGCCCTACATAGAAATATTGTAAAAGTTCATAGACAATTCCGAGTTAGTTCAAGGTAAACGGTAGAAAATTATATAAAATAGTATCTAACAAATATAGAAAATATGACTTTATAGATTTGTGGCGAAGAATGCCATAAAAAGGCATGAAAAAGATACTTGTTTAAGAATTTACGATCACGTACGGAACTGACACTGAGATCATTTTTTAAAGAAGATGTGGAAATATATCTATTAGTAAATGAAACGTCAACTTATTTGCTGTTGAAATAGTTCATTTAAAAACAAAAGAAATTATATAACATGAAATGGAGATAAATTATCATTCAGAAAAATATTAGAACAGATGATAATGCATTTTAAGTGTTCAATATACCTTATTTTATCCTTTATCCGATTTGCCTGTGATGCAAACAGAAAAATTTAATTCACATAAATAGATTTTAAATAATTGATTATTTTTTCAAAATGATGGGTTGTTTGGAAAAGATAGCACACACATTTTATCCGCTTCTCCGTAATATATGTTATTTTTAATTATGCACGTGACACAATTTTTCTCTTCTCAAAATCCATAAACATTGATCGGTATATTTAAAAGTTACATAAATTACAATTTTAATAAGCGTAACTGATTAACTATATCATGATATTTAAACGTCCCGGTTCAATGAACAAACGTCGGGTGCCAGTCTGTTTCCCAGCAAACACCCGACGTTGACACAACGTTGGATCAACGTTGAATTTTGGTCACGACGTCGGTGACCTTCATACAACGTCAAACCGACGTTGAATCCCCGACGTCTAACAGACGTTTCATTTTGACGTTGACTCGACGTCGGGTTTTGGTCGGTAATCTGACAATAAGTGAATTTAATTTATGAAACCATGAATATATATAAATGAAAGCATAAACAATGAGAATTTTAAGTTTAAGTTATGAAAGGGAACATTATATATTTATTTTCTCCATCAAACCAACAGTACCACGTGGCTGGCTAACGTACGATATTCGATAGGTGGCGCTCGGTAAACGGATAGTCGCAGATCAGTATGAAATACATTTGCTCAATTTTCGTTTAAATAATATCTTATCTCCTCGAATTAGTCTAAGAAGTGTTTATATAATTTACAAAGATGTTGTTATCATTTTGAGGTCTCAATTTTATAGTGGAAAATAATTTAGTAAATTCGAATTTGCGACTTATCGGATTTGAAATTCAATTGTATTGGCGGACAAAATAACGACAGGTTGACAGACAAAGTTGTATATTCCAAACAAAAGAAAAAGGTAGGCAAACGTTATATATTGTTTTTCAATGCTAATTTACCGCATGTTTGCATGGATTCGATGGTTATTTGATCATTGTAATGTTTGACTGGAAAAAACTTAATGTCACGTGATTTCGCGAGATAAATAATTTTGTTTCCACGTAAGAACACTTTATCATTTGCTAAAGAACAGTCTGTATAATCGGATCATTTTTCCCACACTATATCGCCATGCCAAATAAATGCACAATCAATGGTAGGAAATATCCTAGCAATTGAAATCAATATAAAGTTAAATGCAGTACGTTGTATAGACTCTTATTATTCAAATGCTGGTAAATAAAATTTCCTTATTTTTTATTAACATGAATTTCCCTTATATGAGGGGCCAGTCATTTACACATGTATCAGATGCAGTTTGATTTTGATATTTGTGTAGTTGTTAAACTACTCGTTGTTAATTGAGTACTTTACCCATACTGTAAGCATACCATGTGTTTCTTATATTATGATAATGATTCATGGCATTTGATACATGTAAATGATACGACTTTGGTAAGATATATCTGAAAGCACATTGTTTTTGACTAGCTCTATTTTTATTAATGTAATCAAACAACATATTATCAATCAGAAAACACATTATCATAGTTATAAATCAATAAAAGTAATAGTTTGTTAATTAGCCTGCTTATCAACAACTTGTATGCGCGAGTATCATAAAACGTTTGTACACTAAGCCAGTCTGTCCTATATACACTTAGCAGATTGGGTCATGCTGGGCAGAGATGATATCTATAATCAAAGTGCTGCAGCACTGAATGCAACGGACATGCAACCGGAGAGACATTAAGGCTTCTTTTAGAAAAAAAAAAACAAAACAAAACAAAAACAAAACACAAAATATAATTATAACAGAGAAAATTTGTTTCATACAAGTTCGAGATTTGTAGAGCAATATATTTTGTGTCCCAAACTGATATAATTCAGATTTTCTACTTTCAAGCACTTAAATACAGAATGAAATTTATGTTTAAAAACTCTGGTCAAACTTGTAAATCAGTATCCTTATCGATTTATTCTAAGAAATGATATGTAAATAGCAAAAAAAAACTGTCAACGAAATATTTTTTAGAATAAATCCATGCAAATAAAATTCAAACATAATACATTATACATTTGAGAATTCTATTTAGAATTGATTCGTGTTATATCATAGTGGGCATATAGACAATAAAATATAAGTCATTTGTATTTTCATTTCTCTTGGATATGTCTCATTAAAAAAATTTGGTTAAAATCATCAGCAATTAATAGTGTATTTCTTAGATTTTTTTTATTTACAAGGTAAAGATGTAGGCCAGAGCACATCGTTTTTATTTTAATTTAAATGTCACTTAAGCACTACAGTGTTTAGTTGTCCTTTTCAATTTCACACTAAATTCCATTTTCAACTTGTTTGCTTCTTACAATTGTATAGAATTTCTAAAAGTATTGCATGTAATCCGCTGGTTTATTAATTACATGTATAATGTGTACTTCCTTATCGCATGTCCAAAAATCAGAACAGGTGAAGCAGAATCTATTTTTAGAATAGCGAAGGCTAACTCATATCATGACCTAGAAAAATATGTAAACAAACCACAAGAATCGGAAGTAGAACTGATATTATAACTTCCTTACCATGAAAGACTACATGGCGGTAAAGTGTTGTAAAACTCTCTAATCTTACATGCATTTTCAAAAATAGATATTTATACTAACCATTGTAATGTATCTAATATATTAATAACTGCTGAATATTCAGCTAAACCCGCGGTATGAGTCACGAAAATAGTTCTTCTTTTATTAATGCGCGAGTTATCCTAGAGTCACGAAAAACTTTTGATTTGTTAATAATAATGTTTTGTATAATGTAGAAATATTTATTTCCTACTAATAATGTCTTGGAACTCAGAGGTTACACCTTTATTGTAGTATAATTTGCTGTCCTACTTTTTCGACAGCGGTAAATCGTTTCAGCAGTAATTTGCATATTGCGCAATAATACTACGGGACTACAACGTTTTTATCAATAATATACGTTCATATTTTAACTTGGATAACTTAATTTGAAATTGAAAAGGCTAAATATGGAAGACATTAAGATATCCAGTCAAAGTATGGGAGTTTTGAAGGATCAAATTCATGTACTATTTCTTGGGCTGTTAATTGGTTTAGGACACATTGCGCGATTGTAGCCAACGAAATCCCATGTGTAGATGACTTAGCTCTGAACGCGCCTGAGGGCGCGTCCGTCGCAAAAATGACAGTAACATGTGAATTTCTTTGATGTTTTATGAGCATTTGTATAAATTACATTGAATATAAAAAATAACAATATCAATTTTTGCGGGAGTAGAATTAATTCGGTATTTGTTATGTCAGTTTTTCATGCCCTTATGAGTTAACTATGATTAATAGTAATTGGATTTTGCCTATTGTATTAGACAAACATCCTTCCACCACATGGTTAAATTCTAAAACGATTATATTTCGTCTTTCAGATTGTGAAAATTATGATAATTCAACATCTGTCAAAAGTTCAGGAGGAAGATGAAAATATTAAGAGGAAAAGAAAAATGAAAACCTACCAAGATTTTGTGACAGGTATATTTCAAAATATTATAGAAAATACAGTGATCTTATTACCCTTGATTTTATAATGAAATTCACGAAGCCATTTATATCAAAATCAATAGATATATACAGTAGGTACACGAAACTATATGGTTTAAACTAAATTAAAAATAATAAGTGTCTTTTTTAAGTAGTTGGAGAGTTTTATTAGAATTTCGTTTAATTATAATACAATGTATGTAAAAATGATTTATTTCTTGCACTTGTAATTGATTATTTTATTTTTTTAATTTCAGAAAGTGTGATGAGATCTCAGAGACGGTAATGATACGCTTAAAGTATGCCCCCAGATCGACATAGTGGAGGAGGACGAAAGAAGAATACTAATGAAGATACATGAACATTGCTATTTATAGTTATAACAAAATATTCAGAATATTGTTCCATTTAACATTCAGATCTAGATTCAGTTATAAAATACAAAGACAAATATACAATCAGTGAGTTGGATAGATGATTGGAAAATCCCAAACTCAGGGTGATCAGTTCAGTGGTGATATAAGAAAAAACACATGCATGGATGTTTACTATACAAAATGTCAGTGTTAATATTCAAGAAGGATTTTGTTTATCTTATTTCTAAAACATGCTTAATTAATGCATGAAGCGTTATTAAAGTACATACCGTCAAATTTAATAGTTTCAAAAAATATTATGTAAATCTTGCATTTGTTATAGTACCACATTTCTTGTTGTGTACTTGTGATTCCGAGTATAAAATAAATTGCTAAAATCATAAGAATGCTTATTTATTAACCCTATTTAAGAGCTTTAAAATGAAAAAAAATCATATTCCAAAAGTTTTGAATGAGGTTAAATTATTGTCAGATAAGGTTGGAATAATATTTTTTTATATGGTCAGATAATGGTCAGAATAGGTTGGGTTATGGTCAGAAAAGGTTGGATTATGTCCAAATAATGGCCAGAAAAGGTTGGATTATGGTCAGATAATGGTCAGAAAAGGTTGGATTATGGTCAGAAAAGGTTGGATAAAGGTCATTTTATGACGTTGTATAGACGTCGGTTTCTGACGTCTAAAAAACTTTCAAATCCAACCTTCTGCCAACGTTTACCCAACGTCAGGGTCAAACGTCAGTACAACGTTGGTACAACGTCTTTTGTTTGCTGGGTTGACACTTGCCGCCTGACCAATCTAGTTATTTAAAGGAAGTGTACAATACAAATTTTGTAATATTATGTAATACAGGGGTAATAAAATTTCATCTTTAACACCCTGCTGTTTCAATTTAAATTACTGATGGAGAAGACGTCTAATGATACCGTAAACAAAGATATGTGTGTGCCCGTTTTGACCATTGAATTATTACTCCCGCACATTTTCGTAGATCTCTTAAAAATAAATTCACGTTTTCTGTACTTACCGCCTAAAGTCATTCCAAAAATAATATTTTTGGGGTGACATAACATGAAACAGCATCTATTAAAGCCTTAAAGTATGATAATCTGTAGACATCGTTATTGCCTTCTGCCCTACGCAGAATGCGCATGCGCGAAATGCAACATTCGTTGCTATGGAAAATCGTATTGTAAAAAGGTCTATTGCAAAAAAAAAATATATAAATAAATTTATCTATCTTATAGACAAACTAACTCTAGTATATTCACTTAGGCTGTCTCAATCTTTCACCAAGTAGTTTCGTATGTCTACTATATACTTATATGGTAGACAGTGATTATTCGAATTCCTCAGAGGCTGTAACAAAAACTAGCTTCGTTAAGTTTCCTATTTCTTTTGGCTTTGTAATTTGTATCTAGGTTATCAGTCGAATATTAGCAAATGTCTGACAGTGTGAGTAATGATTTAAGCCTACTTGTAGTATTATAAAATATTTATAGTTTCCAACGGAAACTACAATATTCTCATCTCACTCCAGAGTTTAAGATGATTTGGGTCAAAGTATACAGGGTCCGTTCCGGATAAAACAACTAGTTTTCTAGGCTTCTCATTCGGAAGACTTAAAAAGATTTCAGTTAAAGAAGCGGGGGATTGAGCTCACACTGTTTTACAATAATTGACACATTTTCTTAATTAAGAACTGATGAGATTCCCACACCATCGTGTTTGCTTATTTAATATAAGTCCTGCACAATTTTAACTTAGTAATTTACTGAAAAGATACATGTCTTATTGGATGTGTTCTAAGCAAATTAAAGCTTGATTGTGTTATGTTCACTCAACTGTCCTATATAAAAGCTATCATCACAAGTAAAGAAAAACTAAACGCATATCATATCACATAAATAAACGACATCAATTTGAATGTTTTAAGCAACAATAAGCAGTGTTATCATAGTTTTCTTGCGGCTATAAAGAAATAAAGGCAAACATTTTTACCAGTTTAAAGCAAGCCTTAAAGAAAGAGATGGTTATAGTTTTGGCCATCTCTCCGAAGCTGACATCTTTATCTTTCTGTAACGCCGCCTCGGCTTCTTCAGCTTTACTATTGTCTGTAAAATGAACAACAGTATTAAAGGCCCATTATGCCTCAGAAATGATTTTATTTTTATTTCTCAAAAGCTTTCTGCTATAGTTTCCAAAACGTAACTTATTGGCCGATTACCGGAGCTATTTTTTGTTCTTTTTGGCAATTAGTACAACTATAGTGATTTAGTATTTTGTATGGGAGTCTAAATACTACATACATTTTGTTACTTTTGTGACAAATTATTTCACATTTAGTGCTACTCTTTTAGGTTACAAGCATCTAACAGTTTTAATACCACTATTAAAATGTTATTCCACTAATGTTTGTTTTTAAGAAAGACAAAAATCATTCGTTTCTGAGGCATAACATGCCTTCAACATAAATGTTTTTGGGAGTATGGAGCTAAATTGTGTGTATATTAGACTGCCTAAAATTGATACAATATGTGTTTGTAAATAGAATGAAATAAAATTCATTAATAGAATTTATACCAAAATATGTAAAACTGAAAGAACAGTATGACTAAAATTCCCATAAAGTAAATGGTACATATGTAAACAGCGTTTCTGTTCTGTTTTGGACCTCCTGGATCATTGTTTCGAATACTTTAACCTTGACGATTGATTTCGTTTACAGAACAGAACAGAACTGTTCTGATTACGTTTACAACCGTGTAAGACAATATTTAGGGAACGTGAGACAAACAAATTATATCGTGCTGAAAGATCATTTAAGGTATTTTAAGACCTTTATATTGTATAAATAATGGCTTTAAAATAAAGATGACAAAACAAAAGCGACAGAGGATGACACGACGCTGAAATACTATATCACCTCTCTTCTTTTCATGTTTTGAACAATAAACACTCTTTTCTTCAGAAAGTTAACTACTGTGTCCATCATCATTACCTTTGTGCAAGGTGACCTCTACCATGATATAGGTCAATGTTCGAAAGAATAAAGTGTATTTAGGTATCTAGAGGTATATGACGTTGACCTTATTTTAAATATTATACCCTGTTATTATTGTTATCTAAAATCTCGTGTCACGCTATCTTAAACATTTTTGACGTTCACACAAAATGTTCAAGCATGATATCAACAGAAAAAAAACTTACTAATGTTAGTGTTGTTAAATTTTTCTCGCCCTTCGGGAATTTTTATTTCAGCACTAAGTGTTTAGGAATCAGTCAGTGCTAGGGAGAGTGACAGATTTTGCAATCTTTCATTTTCTATTACGAAAAGACTCACTCAAACAAAGTATGCAATTTTCATATTATATTATTGTTTTTATTGCTTCCAAGAAATCGCCCCCTTTTTCCGTATTTTTCAATTCCCAGTGTTTTTGTTATAGGTTTCAGCCTAACTAGAAGGTACTGATAATAGTCTTGTTATTGTGCAGGCGCATAGAAATGTAGCAAAAAGTGGTGTTTTATATTAGTTAAATAACAAGGTATCACTGTTGTACGTTTACACACAATGTTGTACATAAATGCCTTTCATCCAGATATATTTGGTTTCGAATCGTAGGTGATGAAAATCTTGACAAATCCTATACGTGGGCTATAATGAACAAAATGCAAAATCCCTCAAGCCCTCTCGCAAACTTGGCAATTTTACACTAAAACTTTTAGAGTGGGTGGACCAATGCTCGGCGTAAAAATACAATATTTTAGATTAAAAAAAATAATTGGCGTCAACTTACCTTAATGTTATATGTTCATTTTCAAGACCGATGATATTGTTTCCAATAACCATTGTTTACATTTCGCTGATCACATAATGACGTATTTGGCGGGAGCTAAATATAGCCCGGATAAACAGGTGCGGTTTAAGTGAAATTGTACCAAAGCTCGGCGTACTGTACAAAGTGGTCCAGGTTTGATTTTCGAAATATTTATTTTCCAATGTGATGAAGATAACATATTTAATAAATTGTAACAAGCAATTTAGTTAATAAATTTATTTTTACTTTAGTTTTTGCGCATTTTACAACCCCTGTATGCATGTCTCATAAACTTTCAAATATTGTTTTCTTTTCAACCTTTTTTCGAAACATAACACGGACATTACACATATAACTAAGTTTGAACATATAATATCAATGTAACAAACAGTTCATTAAGATATAAAATGTATTTTTCCAAATAAAACAATCAGTATCAAAGTCTTATCAGAATCATGTCAGACTGTGTAAATCTGTTATCATATCTATTCCTCTGTTTTTCGACAGGTATTACATAGCCACAAAGTTTCACAAACAAGACTTATATCTACGTCTGTCTGTTCAGAGGAAGGAAGGCATTCATAGTGATACCAGGTATCACACCTATCACATCCAACCCAGTACAGCTGTCTGCTGGTCATACAAATTTCACAGACACCATCGTCGGACATAGGATCAGCCACCACTGCTGTACCAGAGACACACTCGGGCAAGGGAGATAAAGGAGTTGATTTTAACTGGCTTTCAGCAGATTTAACTTTCTTTATATGACCTTCATACTTTTTTGTATGTTTAGATTCAACAACCCTTGCCTTATCATATGTGGTTCTGCGTTTTTTGAAGGCTCTAGTGCTGGTGGTTCTAGAAAAACTTTAGCAAGACTTTCGGGTACCATCCCGATTTTAACAAGCATATTCGGAACATGGCATGAAACTGGTGCATCTTTTGACACATCAGTAGTGCTAGATGTGGACTGAACATTTTTTATTTTCTTTACAGGACCTGCCAAAGCCTTAACAGAAGACTTGTTATAGGGGTATATTCCTGTGGCAGAAAAAGAAGCAGCAACCGTTGCAGGCGTAATCCTGTTCATAGCCTGGTGCAAAACCTTTGGAAACAAATGCCGAGGCAGAGATCTAGTGACAGCATAACCAAGGCCTGACAAAATTTCACTTACCTTTGCTTTCAAAACATGAAAATACCCCACATCTAAAGGTTGCAGTAAGTGGGATGAATGGGAAGGGAAATACAGGAGATCAATACCATTCTCCATAGCTAGGTTTACTACCCTACCTGACACATGGGATAAGTGGTTGTCCATGATTAGCAAACAAGGTCGTCTTTTTCCACAGAACTGGAGAAATATTTGCTCAAACCACAGGCAAAAGAGATCTGTGTTAATGAAACCAGAATCTGTGGTCTCGAACAACCAGTTATCAGGTAACCCATCAGAGAAGGAGGCCCTGGGAAGATTTTTAGAAAAAATGATTAACGGTGGCAGTGTCTGGCCAGAAGCTGATACTGCAAAATTTACAGTGACGTGACCAGACAAGGACAGCTGTACTTTAAAAGCTTGTCTTACGCCTTTCTTGGCTACAACAGACTTATCAGAACTTGAAAAACTACCACTAAAACCCGTTTCATCACAATTGAAAATACGCGTGGGATCATCATAGAGAGACAAACGTTTCAGGGTATTATCTAACAATTCAAAGTACTGGTTTAACTGTTCATTAGTGATAGAAGCTCTAGCTCTATCAAGGCTGTGAGCATTTCTAATCGAAAGTTCTGGGTGTCTTTTGAAGAATTTCCTCATCCATTTGTTTGAAGGTCCTTTCTGGGTGTTTATAACAGTATTTCGACCTGAGGCCATAATTACTTCTCTTGTGAGGTTTCGAACCATTTTCTTTGACAGAGGAAATCCTCTTTCAGACATGTAAAGTATATAGGAAACAAGTGTTGCTTCCTCCTCTGATGTTATTATTGGTGTACGTCCAAAAGAAGTATCTAACCCTCTGTAACGCCCTCTGGTATGGTCCTTCAGTGTGGATTGAGGAATTCCATACAAGTGGGATGCCTTGTAGACAGATATCCCCCTCTTTACTGCGGCCACAGCTTTTGCCATCTGACCACTATCATGAATTTTCTGTTGTCGTGGCATTTCTGAATCAAACAATGAACAAGTTGCAAATAGGATTTAAATCATGATTTATAATTCTGAATGGACACCACGATAATAAAGCAGGATAAAAAGGTGCGGTTTAGATATTTTTAGTTATTTTTTCTGTGAATTGTTGTAAAATAGTTTATTCGGGTTTATCTTTTAAGAAATAAATTTGTTTTAAAACAAATAAAGTCACAAATTCACATTTCTAATGACTATCTACTGCTGAAGTACAAAAGAACAGGGTATACTATGTTAATATGCACTGTAGATGGAGGGGGTCCGTATAAATCCATGCTGTTTGTTAAATTTCAACTGTGAATTTTTATAAGAAAACATGAAAATACATTGAAATTTGATTTCTCTTCCTTATTAATAAAAAAAACCTTAAATTTTTACCTGTTTAATGGCAGATATTGTATGTAAAACAAGACAACTCGAGATCGGTACGGAATTTATTCAGACCGTCGTCTGCTATACCGTGGTCACGTGACTTCGACGGAAGTGAACCGCACCAGGATAAAATCGCGATTAATGTAAATAAAAGAACCGGTGACCTTAATTGGGTATTCTGTTAAATATTTTTAGATATTCGTACAGAAGTACTATTTTACGCCGAGCATTGGTATACGCCGAGCATTGGTCCACCCACTCTAAAGAATGAAGCGTGTTTCTGGTATTTGTTTCAGCACTGAATTTAGTATAATTAATACGTAATAAATAATAGTTTCTTTTAAACGTCATTCATACTTGGCATATATTTTGGGTATCCAAACATCGGTATGGCAACTACAACAAACAATATGGTAGTGAACACGAATCCCAACCACCAAGCCCCAACCCAGCGGGTGTCCATCGCATCAAAGCCGAGTCTGAAACACATTAACATCTTAATATATACATGTTTTTGTATGTTTTATAATAGAGAAAAATGTTAAAAGTAATCTATTCATATTGTCTTCAATAATTTAAGTGGTTATGATTATTCCTTTTGTATTTAATAAACTAAAGTCTTTTTATCAACAATCTGAATTATGATTCATCATATTTGAGAAATGCTTCGTAATGTGCACGATTTACTCCAGTGTTTGTGTTTAGCTTATTTACTTTCGCAACCGGAATGAACCATTCGGTTAACTATGTTTTACTACCAAATAAATGTTGTCCACTTGACCAAATTTCTCCTCGATGCTATCTAGCTAGCCTATGGAAATTTGATGGTTCCCGCTCTTTACTAAATTAGGGGCACCTGAGATCTTCCTCTTACTGTAAAGCCTCTTTATGACCTCATTAGTGTAAGTATAAATTTCAACCCCAATAAATTAAGTTATTTTAATTAATGTGTAGCATGAGAAGTAAGTATTTCTTATAGTATCAGATAAGTTTGCCCTAAGCTGTAATGTAAAATGTAAAATAAAATAACTTTCGTTCTTCGGTATCAATGCTAACTTCTCATTATTGTCTTTTATTTTGACACATGACTTTTAAATTTAAGAAACGTAGAATTTAAACATACGAATTTTGGTCCACTCTGTCGAAGTCCACAAACCAATTCTGCATAAATTGTCCACCAGCAAGAAATCCACATGCTACACCTATAGCCGTCGCTGCATAACATATACCTAAAACAACATGCGTGTTTTAATGTACAGTTAAACCTCAGAAAACCGGATCCCGCTCTTCCATACTGTCACGTGTACCAGTTAACTATAAACCGTTGCTGACTGTTCAAATACGCTTATGTTTATACCGTCAAAATGATGTTGACTTATAAAACATTCAAGCAAAACTTGTTGCACAACCAATTTTGCTTTTTATATACTTATCATTTGTTTAGCTTAAACTGAAATGTGTGGTCTAACTGCTTAATTTGTTTGAAATGATTATATCATTCATAGATTTGCATACGAAATTCATAAAATATTGTAATGTAAAAAGTTTTAAGTGAAAATTGACGGTTAAAGCGTGCAGAAACCTAATATAAAAATGATACAATTGTTACGAGTCACGAGTATCCAATGAGAATCGATCGACGTAACAAAAGTGCAGTATTATAGAATTAAAAAATGGCTACTCAGCTATGTCAAGTGGTTTATTTAATAATAAAACAACAACACATACCGACACACATGGCAGCGGTTCCTTGACTTGCATTTTCATCTAGGTAAACAGTTCCGAGCGTGAACATAGGTGTAAACCCGATACCATGAACTACCTGAGCCAGAGCGAACACGCCTACCCAACTTTCTTTATCACTCTCACAAGGGGGCGGGCCTCCCGGTCCTGCACCGCCACACGTGTCCGTTGGTCCGGAAGAAGCTTCGGATCCTGTTAAATAGATACAAAATGACGACGATATAACATGTTAAAGAATGCTTATAACACATCGTTCTTCATTAAACTGAAACTGTCGATCTTTAAAACTTCTTAAAATTTACACCAAGTATGTTCAGTGCATTTTAAAATTGACGAGAAAGTTGCGTTAAACAAAACCAACACAATCTGCATTATGTAAACTACATGTTTACCATATAAATATATTGCATTATGTTTCCTTGCTTTACAAACCACGTCGTATTCGTATAATCGTTATTCAATATCGTAAAGTTAAACAGTTATTTACCGTAATTATACTTGACTGCAAGATGGGGTATAATAAAGATGAAGGAGCCGACAGCCATGATGACGGATCCGCCGGCAATCCAGCGTATCTTGTTGTAACGACCACCAATATAACTGACAAACATGATGATGATTAGAGCGCCTGAAAAATAAAATAAAACATGATTAGTGTGCTTATTCATTCATTCATTTATTCAATCATTCATTCATTCATTCATTCATTCATTCATTCATTTATTCATTTGGTGAACCTTTTTATCCGTTTTGTGTTGTTTTTTTATTTTCTGATGTAATCGAAAAAGACAAGAATCATTTATCAACAGGGCATAAAGGAAGTACAAAAATCTGTACCAGTATAAGTACGTCATATCAATAAGATAACTGCTAAGAAAAATTAACACAGCTATCCTATGACATCAAAAACAATGTGACCATAACACGTGACCATCAGGATGACGAAATTTCCCGATATGGTTTACATATTTTTGCCGTTGCCGCACAGTACGCATAATCGCACAAGCTGTCAACGATATATCAAAATTTTAAAAAGACCCCCTAAATATTTTCTCAGAACATTAAAGGTCTCTAAAAGATGTAATCCACCACTAACTAAATTGTAATTAAATATTCGAAGATGATATTTTGTCTGGCATCCTCTTCAATGAAGACAAATTAATCATTTTTTCCCCGAATTGGAAGACTTACTAATTTCATTTATAATATACACCATATTAAAACGTACATTCCTGGCACATCTTATGTTCTCAGCTGAATAACACGGTATTTAACATTATATCATTTTATTGTATTATTATAATGATAAAGGTCTGTGAGTTGAACAAGAATTATCAGTCAACTAAACTTATGCATATCATAACGAAGTAAACATTAATGTAGGAATAAAAGAAATAGATTTTGTCCTTGAGTAAAAAACAAAACAATACTCAGTATGTTATTAATACAAAAAGTAAAATTTTCTAATATGAAGACCTTAGGTAGAGATTTTTTACGTTTATTGTCTCATTGCTCTCTCTTTCTGTTTAATCAAATGCACGTATCATAATTTCGCGTCTTGAAAGAAAGAGGTTCGGAACATATTTTTGTCAAATAGATGAAAATTACCATTAAAATATGTAAAGTTTGGCAGTAAAATAATAAAAATGAAAACCTTGGAATAACTTCATGTATAGATCTAGACCTATTAGTGCAATAAACAATCAACAAGAAATTAAGGTAAACTATCCCTATGGTTCTACGTCATTAAAGTGAAACAACTGCAAGGAAAAATGAAATCTATGACATCAATAAAATCACGAGCAGAATCCGGAAGTTGTTTCCGTCGAGGGATATAATAATTTTATAGAAATATTCTAAGAGGAGATTTTGTCCCCTAGAGTGTTAAACTAAATACAAAGGAATCGTTGACAGACAAACTCGTTTAATTATACGCAAAACTGTAAGGTATATTACTTGCCCATCATTCGAATTTAATTAAGCAACGGTTTTTGCAATGACGTGATACTCAAGGGATTGTTTTACCTACCTTTATTTCATGTTAATTGTTTATTTCACTAATAGGTTTGAACAACAATAGATGAAGGTGAATCTGTCACAAAGTTAAAAAAAAATCCTTGCCAAACATTAAATATTTTGTTATATCAAACACTTTTTTATTTATCAAAAATATTTTCTGAGCATTTTCCTTTCAAATCGCAAAACAATGCCTTTATGTATTATTTTTTTCATCAGCATATCTTTTAAACATACCATTATATTCAATTCGGTTGAAGATGAAATTGACAAAAAAATATTTACCAAATAATTAAATCTTCATTACATGCAATGCAGTGTAAGAATAAAAGAAATATATTGCATTTATTCAAATTAAAAACAATACAAAACATGGTCTGGTAATTATCTCAAAGGTATAATTTTCTAATATTAAAACTTTAGATAGTGACTCTTGGCAAAACTAACTCAGTTTTATTATGATTGATTTCTCTTTATGTTAAATAAAAGTTAAGTATTACATACATATATAATTGTGTGACTTGAAAGAAAGAGGGTCGGATAGGATTTTTTCAAATGATTGATATTGTAAAATCTGTAAGGATTGGGAGGGAAAATTAACGAAAACCTTGGAAAAGTCTCTCATCTTCATATTTTCGTATTGACAAACATGTATTGGTAAAAAAACACCTATCAAAATATTATGGTAAAACAATTCCTGACATATTTTCGTATAATTAGACAAACATGTATTAGTGATATAAACACTTATCAAAATATCACTGATATATTTTCATGTATTAGAGAAATAAACAACAAAACAATAGAGTAAAACTATTCCTGTGTTATTACGTCATAACAGTGAGACAACTTCACAGAAAAAGTTGCAAGGAAAAACAACTATTCTATAACATCAATACTATCATAGGCTGAATCCAGCATTATATTGTTTATATATAAAATAATTTCATAGAAATACTCTAATGTGAGATTTTGTCTGCGATCTATCCTCTCTAGGGACCTGGTCTTAAGATATACAATGTATTTATGTAAGTTTATGATTCCGTATTGAGAAACAAACTGATTTTATTAGGGTGTTGAACTTCATATATATATTTGTATAAATGTAAGTTTTCCGCTCATTTCATCTGTAACTCTTAAGTTAACCCTTAAACTTCTGTGATGTCTGGACTGGGAACTTACATTTTCATATTGATATCGAAAGCAATAAAGGTGACATTATGTCCATCCAAATTTAAATGTTGAGAGTATGGGTTCATGTTCACATATACTTCTCATTTCATTTTTTAGTGAATCCACTAATACACATTGAACATGGAAATTTCTACAAATAAATGTATACTTCAGAATGTATCGGTTACGGTCACTTGATAAAAAGAGTCGGACAGTCTTTTTTATGGTTTAGGCAGATTTTATATTTTATTCTAAACATTTTTGATTACCAATTATTGATAAATCACCATTGAAATAGTCAGTCTTTTGAATTACAGTGTCTTATTCAACTTGACAACGAAACATGAGCAAAATGCCAGTTTAAACATTTAATGAACTAATAAGCAAATTCATTCAATAATAAAGGTCGAATGCAAAGGGTTTATGTAACAGAATCTAACACTATATCATTATAAAAGACGTGATGTACATAGGCATAAAAGGAACGATAAACTGAGCCCCTTAAATGTAAGATGGGCTTTGCTCGTTTAATGAAAACACTGATTAAATTTTCAAATATTGAAACTTTAACAATTACATATGGGCCAATTTTGGAACTCTTCGTTTTGCTTATTCTTTTCGTTTAAACGTCAAATATCATCAGACGACAAAGATCCTATAAACAGAAATAAAAAAAGTTATCATCTTCATTGTATGATATTATAAAATCTATATCACCAAGAAATGAGCATGAATACCGTTGCATACCTTCGCAATCGTGTTTTTCTTTAAGGTCAAATATTAAGCGAAAAGGAGGTAATATTTAACAATATATACGATGGAAGACACTAGGTCATTGCAGTGAGACAACTGTAAGAAAAAATTATCACGGTGTCCAATCCCACGATACCAAAAAATATAGATAAATGAATATATCAATAATATAAAAGTCACATGCTAGCAATAAGCGTTTAGAAAAAATATACATGTATACATTTCTGATATGGAAACGTTTTAAGTTTTTTTCAAATCGTCTTTTCTTTTTAAGCGGTAAAAAAGATATTTAATTGTACAATTTCTATAAAGGTCCGTTTATCGTAGTGTACATGTAAAATGGCTAGTGATAGGCTGAAAAAGTGCAGAGAAATATCGTAAGGTTCAAATTGGAAAAAAAGATATGTCGTTTATAAGTATGAAAATTATTTTAGAAACTAACACCACATTGTTGTCTGAAGAGAATGAACTCTATGAGATTTCTTTTAATAAGACATTTTCATTTTGAAAAAATGCATATGTCAGTCCTGTGGTCAGTAACTGAAATAAAAAGGGTGGGGGTGCTCTTAGGAGACTTTTTGCGAAAGATTTGGTTGGAAAGTTTTTTTTGTTAGGTTTGTTTGTCCTCAAAGAAAACAAATCACATTATTACAATAAGAAGAAAATAAATATCATTGTAGTTTTAGGACAATGTTTTCATAGTGTTGGTCTCATAATGGAAAATCAATAGTAGAGTAGTCTTGGTTCAAATAAATGATATGAGCCGTGTCATGCTAAAATCAGCATAATGGCTTTGCGACCAGCATGAATCCAGACCAGCCTGCGCATCCGCGCAGTCTGATCAGGATCCATGCTGTTCGCATACAAACTCTATGACAAGTAGAGAAACTGATAGCGAACAACATGGATTCTGATCAGACTGCGCGGATGCGCAGGCTGGTCTGGATCCATGCTGGTCGCAGACGCATTATGCTGGTTTTGTCATGACGCGGATCATATATAGATAAATATTAAATGCAAGACTCACGTTTCTTTCTTAATTAACAGTGCGGTTAAACAATGTTTTTGAAAAGAGTTCGGGTCCTATGTTTTAAGTGTTCTAACCAAGACGTTCGCAAGGGATTCAAATAAGGGTTTCATAATTTAAATTTTGATCCATAATATTTGATTCCAAGTTTCTTTTATATTGTTACAACAATTAAACAGGCATTAATGTTTATAAAAGATTCGAAATGATTTTTATTTTGGTCCCACCATTTTTTTTTCTAAAATAAAAAGACACAAAATTATTTGAAATGCCTAGAAATATTACTACTAGAACAAAAGGCGGGGCATTATTTTATATCATTCATTTCTTACAGAGACCTTGGCTGTCCTTCTATCTAACTGTCTTCCTCCCAGATGCCCTCATGAGGAGAAAGAAATTCTGCCTTTAGTGTGAATCAATATATATATTTATAAGCATTATCAGCTTTGAGAAGGTTATATTTAAAATTTTTACAGTTCTGCTACATTCTTTTAGGTCTTAGTAATGGACTTTAAAGACAGATATAAATTGTTTCACCGGGTATTATTATTATATCTACGAAATTTGATTTTGATCAGTACAAAGTCTTTATATTATTTCAAAGCTAAAAACAAACCTATATCTTGTGATGCAGGAATGATCGAAGACTTTGAACTCGTCAGCTGAAACTGGCGCTCTATCCCCGGGATACCCGCATTTGCAATACCGTTTATTGCGAAACCTTCGAGGAAACAAAACAATGTCAACCAAAGCACGAGAAACGGTAGCTTGTTGAAGAATTGTAAACATCTGTAATTAAATTGAGATAAGAATATAGGTTACAATATGAGCATGGTTTGTGTACGAAAATGTGAACAAAAATGTTTCAAGTTCCGTAAGTACATTACGTTATTATTCACGGTCTATCAAATATAATGGTCCGGAAATAGAAAAAGTTTCTTGAATTAGTATGCCTCAGTCACGTGATATTTTTTACATTACTTAATTTATCGTTATGTTTGAAAAGACCATGTTTTCAAACAAAACTTTTCTGTCATATTCAAGACAATTCGCCGGAAACATCATATTTCATAATCAAAAATATATAAGAAAAAATAGGTATCAGAATAAGTTTTTTCGAAACTTACTTTGGTTTGCAAGATCCATACCCAAACCGTTTGTCAATAAATACTGGTGTAGTTTCTGACTTTGCAGGAATCTGCAAAAAATACAATTTTACGAGAACAAGTCCGAGGGATTTATCCATATATTTTATTAAATAGTTTTATTTATCTATGTAATTCAGATAAAAGGCTCGAGTTCAAGTGATAAATAACAATCAAGTAAAGTCATCCTAATGGTTTTAATTTTTAGCAAACGGTGCGATTTATTATTTGGTTAATAGACTAGAAATGGTAAAATGGAGTTTATAAACATCGAGTAATTGTATAATTACAATAATACGTCATCATTTTGTTGAGATAAAAGTATTTTGACGGTAGGTGGCATCGTAAACAGTGCGGGGAGAACCATTTGTGTGCAATTATCCGAGTAGAGCAATGCCATTTAAATTGAAATGTTGGCAATAATTATATCAGGCCTATTTGACTAAATAGTAGGCAATTTTCACCAAATGTGGTTAATTTGTATCAAAAAGCAATTTGTTGAGGTTTGTATTTTCTCCATATTTCTTTCTACAAAATGGTGCGCATTAATCTGAAAAATGGATCTTTTTATAAATGTGATTGATGTTTGCAATACCTTAATACACTTTTTTAATTTGTGGGAGATATGATTTTAAAGATAAGATGGTTATTTATCGATATTCTATATTCACCCTTATATTACCTGATTGTCGGTGACGCCGGCGGAAGTGGTTGTGACAGCTACTTTGACGTCATCCGGTGACGTGTGGAAAGCGACATTGTCGTAGCATCCGTCTACTTTTTCAGTCTGAGCCTTTAGAATGTAAAAACGATTACATTAAGAAAGTAATGAAACTTTGAAATTTTTATTAGAAACGGGTAGAAAGTTCTTTTTTCAAGCAGGATCTGCCAGATATACAATTTGAAAGACCCTGTTTCGAGCATATTATTCTTTATTATGCTTTTATTTTAAGGTGTGGTACTGACTTACAAATAATAACTGTCGTTTACATAGTTTTGGAAACTTCTAAGACAAACATAGCTTTTTTCATATTTATAAAATGATTGTATACATAGACTGCCTAAAGTTTGAAGAATAACAATAATATCAAATCAATTTCCAATGGAATAAGATAAACTTTGCTTCAAGTAACACAGAAGAGACATTTATCACTTAAAATTTGCTTTTGTCTATTTTCATTATGTTTGAATTCTCCCAAGTAGCCAATCAAAAATATCTAGTGGAAAAATCAATTAACCATGATGCACAACGACCCCCTCCCTACTCTTACGCACACAAAATGGCTAGTCTTAAATATAGTCTTACAATATATCTATATCAATGTTTCCGTAACATCCTAAAATTAAACCACATAATTATCATGTCAAAAGTTCAAGATATTTAAATGGTCCTGTATATGTAACCTTTATCAATCGTCCGTACCCACGGTGTATATTCCGTACATAATACATTATCTATGTATGTACGGAATATATACCATGTGTAACAAAGATGGCCTATTATTTCTTAAACAAATGGATTTTGATAGTTTGATAGTTCTAGCTCGAGTTCATTTTTTATCGTTTTTTTTTTTTTTGTTTTTTTTTTTTTTGTAAATTGACAGATGTTTGTTTTTAAATTATATCCTTTCTGGACAGGAGTAATTTAGCTCTTTCATTTTTTACTAAATTACAGTTATAATACTATAATCAATAAAATGGACATGGTCTGTTTGTAAATTTCTATAATTCCAAACATAATATTATTTTAAGATAAGCACTGCGCTGTCTGCGGTTAGACCGTACGAAGGGGTTTGACTACACCATCCGAACCTCCAGATGTCAGCGTTAACTTCGACTACTGGTTTACAACTCTTTTCGTACATTTTGCTCTTAAAACGCTGAATATCAAATATGGACTTTCAATGTGGATTTACATTTTCATCGTTTTAAGGGATTTTTTTTTAAAATATTCACTGACTGAAAAGCGCACACTGTAGACCATGATCATGCGGCTAAGTACGGTTAAACAGAGGTGTAAATTCAGGTACATTTTCCCTCGGGTGTTGAATATCGGGCCATAAAACAGGGTAATAAACAGGTTTTATAATCAAACCAGGGTAGAAATATTCTCACACACAATGTTTTATGGACCCCTGCATCTCTGCACGACCGTGAAGTTTTACGCTATGTTGCGGTGTTAAATTGCGCTTTCTTTTATGTTAAAGAGTTAAATGTGATAAAATATGATAATAGAACTTTTTGAAAGATGTAAAACTAATTTGAATTTGAATTTTTTTTAAAAAAATGCAATATCAAGGTAAATAAATACGCGCTACAATGGTTTAAGAAGGTTAAAAAAGAACTTTCGTTTATATTTTATTGTTGTTTTTATTGCCCCGGTTGATTAATTTTGTTTTGTTTTTACTTTCTGTACTATGAACCGTGTACATTTCTCAAACCACCGATACAAGGAAGGCAATATGACCGAATCTATAAACTAATTTGGCAATTCATTTATAAACATTAATATGTACAAAATAGTAGTGTAAATATTTAACAAAATGAGGGATAAATAATTCATGTTCATTTTGTCCTCTATTTTGACATAGATCTATATGCAAACTGATTTAATAAATCAACGTAAAGTGATTTTTAAATGAAGGCCGCCAGTTTATAATAATAATAATAATAATAATAATAATAATAATAATAGTAATAATAATAATAATGATGATAATAATGATATAACAAATTAATAACATAAGCTAATATTTAGAACAAAATGTTATTATAAAATATATAATGTATATAAAGGGCTGCATGGTTAATTCATTGATTTCGTCCGGCCTTATCTAAATGAAATACATGTATATTAAAAAAAGATGTTCGACTTTTTTCATTTAAAACTTGCAATATACCAAATACAGTATCTGTAATAAATGTCAATGTCCAACCTCCATTAGTTACAACTCTATATATTAAGAGGCATATACATACATGTATTGTCAGTATGTTACGCCACGGACTTTATTGCACGGATTTATAACTAAGATGCGTGGTTACGCATATAGTTAAACTTTATCTATTATCGTAAACTATGGTAGCTGATTTACACCATTTCGTGGTTTCGCATTTACTCACAAGCGCTAGTCACGTAATCAAATATTTTACATAATCTTTATAATCATATATAGGCCGATCATTTAAAGTATTTGGTTATGTGACTAGCGCCTGTGCATTTACTCTAACTTAAACACAGACATAATATATTTTCGCCTTTTCGCATATTTCATTTCTGTGTGTGTGTGTTTTTTTTTTTTTTTTTTTTTTTTTTTTTTTTATCACTTATATAATAAGTATTCTGAAAATAAAAACGTTCGCATCAATTGATTGTTGTTAAATGTAAAAGTGTAACGCGCTTGTACAACCGGAACGTGAAAAATTAAAATTAGCAAAAATACAAAGATGTACAATTATTCGAAATTGCAGGGGGGTGGGGGAACAAAGCCGCGAATACGCAAAGGAAGGACTTCCTGTTATCGTATATTCGTCCCGAAAAATCAAAATCACAACAAATTTAATGCGAAAACACGACCCATTTTACGCGTCGTATAGTCGATCTTCTTATGTAGTACTTTTGCAATTTTGCGAAAACACGACAATGATTCTTCGATGGCATTTTCGTTTTCCGTGGCAAAAAAGCAAAAACATGACGGCAATCAGCTGAATAGAAGATTTTTATAACAGAAATTGGGCAAATGTAATGCGTAATAAATAAGAATGCAATCAACACTTATGGATTGTATCATTCAGAAATGAATATATATTATCAAGATAAATATACTTCACGCGGATATTCCCATCACTCTTTTTAATAGCTGCATGCCTTTTCAAACATGACCTAATTAACATCAAAATTTTAAGATTTGTGGAAACATGGCCGAGTGGTCAAGGCGTCGGACTTAGAGATCTAATGATTGCTAGCCGCATGGGTTCAAAACCCGTCAGGGGCAAGCCGTTGTTTCCTTGAGATTGGTTCCAGGGACGGATTCAAAAGTATGTCTATAAGCTTATAACTTCCTACACAATCGAACTAAATCAAATTCTGTATAAACCAAGGTTTTAAAATGTTCTGCCAGGAACGGTGAAGCAGTTACGTTCGTTATGTCACAGACGAAATCTGCGGTGCATTCAAGATTGTTTGTAGTAAGATCAATTTTACTCAAAGTTTAGTGGCATGCGCCGTTTTTAAAGCTAGGAGAATGTCATATGCGTCAAGTATTTAAATAACGGTATAAACGTTCATGTTAAAAACAATATGCGGTTAAAATGCACATTTTTGTACGAAAAGGTTTATTCTGTTCTAACATTACAGCATAAAATATATCACTTTCAGGGGGCCTTAAGTTACATAACTGCACAGATTTACAAGACATAAATTGAATATTGCGCAATTACATGCCGTATTCTTTATAAATAATGTTAACGTTAAGCCGTCGCATTTAGTGGTTTCAGCGCTTTGATCTATATTGAAGTGTTAACGATCATATCATCAAATTAATTCAATGACAAGCTTCTCATTGAACTTAAAACGTTTCCTTATGCAAAAAAGCCCGTTAATTTGCTTTAAATGCCTGACATTGGGAGATTGTACACGTGCTTGCAATTCCATAGCAGGTCTGAAAAATTTCGGAATTCAGTCTCGGTTTTATGAAAACTCTACAAGAGCTGATACACCTAAGAATTCCAGGTACCCTTCACTAAATTTCCAGGGTATCTTAAAGTAAGAGCAAAGTTATATATGAATATATTACTTAAATCAAGTACTTTTCTCTTTGCCGATTTATAAGAGGTCACGTATTCTGGTAACCTAAGTAGAGGTGTTAAAATTTAATTGCAATACAATTGTGTTAGCCATTGAAGTTATAATGTATATAGGACTTTCAAAAACAGTTATTATTCAGAGCGGGCGCTATGGTGCAGTGGTAACAGTGATTGCCTACCAATCAAAGGGTCGTGAGTTCGATCTCCCGCTACTCCAGTAAAAGAATGAAAAAAGACTGACATAACCAGAACATAGAAGTGTAGAGACTAAACAAAAAGAACATACAAACAGAGACTAAACAGATAAAACATACAGATACAGACTAAACTGACCAAAATTCAATTCAGTGGACCTAACGGAAAATAGCAATAGAATGCAGAAGACATACAGAGAGGGACGTCATCCGGCAAATAACAGCTTAACGAACTACAAACAACAGACGACAAAACACGAAACGGAACAGACGAATGGGATAAAGACACACGGACATCAAATTAACAGACAAGAGAAGACTTAACGGTACAGGAAAGGAGAATCGGCAGCCGAGTAATAACGGGATACACAACTACAGTACACTTAACGGACCATACAATACCAGTAGCAGCGAAACCAGTACCGATATCAGGTGAACTGAAACGAGCACCGGTATCAGAATAACTAACTCAATACATACAGCAATCGACTAAACGGAACACATCACATCAACGAAGACGTCAGGAAGTCTACAATGTGTTCTTAACAGAAAAGAAACACCTTAAGAAAGACACATACAACAATAAAAGAAACCTGGAATGGAAATGAAGCGGAGCAGGCAATACAAACTTAATAGGAAAGATAATAATGAAAATGATTAAAATAACGATATAGACAACAATAATTATAACAGTGTTTGAAACCCCGCTACTTAAACGGATAAAAAATGCAAAGACTTAACGGAACAGATAACAACATTGTCACAATGATAAGGAGAAGACTTAAAAGAACAGAAAAGAAAAAACTTAAGACAGAAGAACTAAAGGAATACGCAACAACAGACATTTCAGGACAGACAACAACGGAAAAGACAGCAATGACTAAAACAGCAAGAACAGCAAAAACAGATGCAGCCAGGAAGATAGACAACAAATTCCTTCACGAACACAAAAGGGAACAAGAATGGAACGGATTAATTGATTAAAATGATATTGAAATATCATTTGGATACATGTACTAATTGCAGATAAGTGTATTCATACGCCCGCCATCATGTATTAATATATGACTTAAGAGTAAATATAAGGATTATATTACACTTACATACTCATATATATATATCAAAAGGGTTTTTTATGTATTAAATTCAATTAAACAAATGGACAAGCAAGCAAACAGGAATGTTTTATTTGAAACAGAAACCATTATTACCCCTAACTTTTTTGTAATGTTAATTCCCCCTAGGCCACTGGGAGTTATTCATTCATGTTAATGTAAGTGTACAACGTGACTAAGAAATTGGAAACAGTATTTTCAACAGACTGAGTATAAGATCTGCTTACGTGTTTTTTTCCTGAAAAAAATGGCCGCCATTTCGTTTTCTCAATTTAGCCTTTTCTTTTTAAGTTGACCACGAAAAGACAGATATTGATAATCGTTTTATAAACAAAAGTCCACTCACGATTGTCTTTTTCTATTAATAACTACAAATAAATACCAGAAATACCAGACTTCTGCTTTATCCGTTGAATATTTAAAAGTATTGACTATGTTTTGAATTCGAAAACTGGCATTAGCTTAATTGAACAACTTAGTTGAATTTTAGATAATACTATTTATTAATCGTATGCTAAGCGTAATATATTTCATGCCATCGGAAGTAATATTCGTAACATTTCGGCTCTTTCCGTTAAACTGTGAATACGGATTATTGGTTTTACTCGAGAAATTCCGAATGCAAAAGGTTACGGAGGTTTATGAAGACCGATAAGAGAAAGTGATGTTTGAGTATTTAAAGATATATTAATATGTTTAAATAAGATATATGAAAATACTGATACTTGCAATACAGTCTCTTTTTGAAGGTGATGAGCATAGTATATATGTATAATATTTTTAAGGTAACGCTTTAACGAAATTCGCTCAAAGATATGGCTAAATGTCTATCTATTTACATTTCCGTACACGTCTTACAGCATTGGTCGCAGGGAATTTCCTTAAATGTTTTACAGGACCATTTTCTATATTATTTATTTTTGCGCCCGTGCCTTAGAAAGAAAAATACATAAATGAAAAAAATATATTATAAAATCTTATGCATATAGCAAATAAAGAAATTGGTGTGGCCTAAGATGCAAAAAATATCAGTCACATGAGCATATTATTATCTGAACAGACGTGTATATTGTGTTTTGACATTAATTATATAATACCTGTCTACATACTCGTGTTGCACTGTTTGAAAATGTAAATAAACCAAATACTGCATACATACATTTAAATCTATGAATTAAACAATGCGCGTAAGTCAAAAAAACGTAAATGGTTACTTTTTTATCATTATAACTAAAATTGATAATTGATGATAATTTATTTAATGATACATATGAAAACATCATAAATAAAGTAATACTACCTGACTGCGTTCTTCCGTCATTTAATTATTTATCCTTACACGTCACTGTAATTTTGTTTTCACGAGTAAGTACATGCAAACACATGCATATACCTTTACAGTAGGTAAATAAATGTACGTTACAAATCCTCGAGTCTTAAATGGGTGAATGAGAAATAAAATCTTTTGAAAAGACAAGAGTTAATGGTAAACATTTGAACAAAAGGTGACACATAAAGAGGCCAGTGCAGCGGTGCATGCCGGGCATGACCTCCCGTGGCCGAAAACTACAACAAAATATTTAATTAGTAAACGTTACGGGTCATATAAGAAAATACTAGGATAATTGACAGCTCTAGATCTGATATTTGAGTGTACTATACGTTTATTTACCATCACCACCAGAAACCCATGTGCAATGGGGAGGAACTGTTACTTGGAGGATGGAGTTCTTCTGCTAATTTGTCAGGAGTTCTTCCGTTAACTGTGACGGAGTTCGTCGGAAAACGTTTGCATAAACTGAAGAAGCACTCTTCGGCCAAACAAATACCAACAAAAATCAGTTGTCTGTCGGAGGAGACCAAGATGGGATGGGGGAGGGGCTGTTATACTGGCAAGTCATTTTTGTTTTTAATTGTCACATCTTATCAATCAGCGGTCAATAAGGGTATATTTTTGTTAAATCTTCTACGAAAAAAAATGCTTAGTTTGTGAAAAAAAAGTTTTGCCACTTGCGATATTGGCAAATTTGCAGCAGAAAAACCTGAATGATGGTCTATTTACGTCAGTTGTCATCAGTCCAAGTCTTTTAAAGCTATGACCGACTGGTTCAAAATGTTCAAATTCATTAGTTATAATAAGTGTACGAATATTCAACAAGGTCCATCCACTCAAGCGTGAGCTTGTTATTTAAACTTATCTATGTTATTAGTTGTAAATGACATCTCAAATTGTATTGGTTTTATATTTCGCATTCTATGGGATTCAAACGAGTTAAGTTTTACAGCAAATGTTATAGCTGCCTTTGCAACATTCGTCACTATAATAAGATGTTGTCATTTCAATATACTCATAGCTAAGTTTGATTCTAGAAAGTGGCAAATGTTTTATGTAATAGAAAAATCTCAAGCTGATTTTTGGAAGGCAAAGTGTGGTGTGCTCTTTTGTCCACATTATGTTACCGAGGAGCACTTTGGATCGTCATTCACCATGATATCTCCGCCACCTAACAATTGCTATTTCTTTTCTCACACTGTTAAAATATACACAGATGCTGTAGTTGAACAAAAAAGTAAGAATTTTTGTCTTTAGTGTACTTTGACTGTATAAATATACGGAAAACGTGATCCTTCGGAAGCATTAAAAACAGCAAAATTACATGAAAATTGCAGATTCGGTTTGATTAAGTCTGCATATGACGGATAATGAAAAAGGGAAACATTCCTTACGCCCTCTAGCACCGGCTTGAGTGGTGCTCAATTCTCAACAATTAGACTTGAAACATGAACGGAAAATCAGTATTCTCTGAAAGTTTACGTATAAATTTCTTGAAAAACATGGATAAGTAGTTACTACATATATTTATATATAAATGTTTACGAGTGATTTATGTCCCAGTTAGTGATAAATGCATCATGTAGGTAACATACTGTCTGTCTGTCTGTCTGTCTGTCTGTCTGTCTGTCTGTATGTATGTCTGTATGTATGTATGAATGTATGTATGTATGTATGTATGTATTGATTTGCTTATTTGTATTGAATAATAGTTACATGCCAAGTAGGAAAAGTTTACAAATAACGTAACAGAACCAAGCCCTCGACTTTCACTTGACACTTGATCCTGAACCCATAAATTCCTTTTTATGAAGTTAAGATTTTCACCAATACCGTGCTCAGCTTTAAGAGTTTTGTATGTGAGATCATCAATGCAAAGTAAACCGCCTCATGTTTAAATTCAATGGCCGTGAAATTTTTTAATGCTAAATAAGGGTTGAACGCAATGTCTATCTTTCATTTATATCAGACTGGTATCTAAAAGTTATCTAAAGTTGTAATAAACAAAAACTTTAAACTTTTTTAACTTTTCAGCCATTCTCCTATAATCCTTAATCCTTTGTGACAAACATTTAAATAAGTACACTGGGATGTTTTCAACAGCTTAACTTAAATTTTGTAGCGTGGATGCTCCTCGTTTTTCATTTGTTTTAAACTGAAAAGCTATAGTAACTGCAAAAAAGCGCTGTCGCTTGACCAATTAAAGTTTAAGATTGGTGAAAAAAACAATCCATTTATATGTTTTCCAACAAGTTTTTGCCTAAAATCAATACAGTATTGATAATAGATTAAGAATTACATAATTATTGTTTAATTGTTTATTAATAAGTAGTAATTTTTATTGGTAAAATATTTTTGGAAAATAGATGGGTTTATTGTATGCATGTTGTTTATATTTATATGCAAAATATATACTGTAGATGTATTTGACAATATTAACATGAATATAATTATTTTGCAACATGTATATTGTATATTAACAATGTAAGGTATGATGGAGGATGACCCCGACCCCCTCATACCTATTACGGGGTAAATAAACGGGTTACCCAGATGGGGCCTCAAAAAAAAAAAAAAAAAAAGAATTACATAAGAAGTTCGAGACTGAGACCCTTATTTTCCATGATTTTCTTTAAATGCTGCCGTCGCCGAAATGCAACTATGGTACCGTAACGATTTTAAACTGGAATGCAACGATCTTGAGATGCGTTATATTCTTTTAAATTTGTATTCAAAACAATATCTATAATATAATATCTATATAAAGACTATATTTGGAATAAAATTGATAAATTAGACTCCTGCGATGATACATTTTAACACAAACCGTTTTATTGTAAATAATTCAAATGTCGCGTTTAAAATGCTATGCCTCCGTAACGGGCGTATACTTTTAAATATACATTATACCAATCAAATAAAAATGTTAAAATATTGTTTTGTATTTCTTTAAATGAAAAACACCAAAATGAGATGTCGTTTGCACAAAAATGTGATAAATCTGACCCGTAGAAGTCTAATTTCACTATGTTTCCATAACGACTATTTTCCGTAACAAAACGATCATCCGAATTTTGGTACAGTATATGGTTCAATTGACGGGGTGACTTTTTTGCCTATCACCGCGCCCAATGATACGTCACTAAGAGGTATGCATGCAACATCTTAATTGACTTTTATGATACAATTAGGCAACTGGAGGTAATTGGCAATCACTGTACTTTATTTTGGCAACCACTGTTTTTGATTTGATAACGATGTTTTCACAATTATGTTACTTACACGAGAAATTTTACTGATAAAAATCGATTGCAAGCTTTATTTTCAGCAAACCACAGGGTCAAAAAGTAGCAAGTTGATGCTACTTATATTTTTTTACCTGTTTGAAACATTTGTTACGGAACATAGTTAATTATTTTGAGATCATAATCTGATGCCATATATGTACTTTATCCATGGTTATTTAACAATTTGAAATGAATGATTGGTTTCAAACATGGAACACATATTTCGATGAAAAAGAAGTGCACAGTTTATCAAATAGTCAAAGGCAATTTGTTACGGAAGCATAGTATTCTATCATCTTTTTTCAGCACCATAATACATATATTCATTTTGTTTATATAAACTGTTCCAATGTGCTTTTTCATCATAAAGATATATGAAAATTGTGTCCAATATTAACTGGAAGTCTAACATGATTTGTATTGCGTTGTAAGGTTGCAGTTTTCCGTTACGGAACATATCAAATTTGTTACGGAACATAGCATTCATAAGAAGGCCGCCAGTTTATTATAATAATAATAATAATAATAATAATAATAGTAATAATAATAATAATAATGATAATAATAATGATATAACAAATTAATAACATAAGCTTAGTATTTAGAACAAAATGTTATTATAAAATATTTTATGTATATAAAGGGCTGCATGGTTAATTCATTGATTTCGTCCGGCCTTATCTAAATGAAATACATGTATATTAAAAAAAGATGTTCGACTTTTTTCATTTAAAACTTGCAATATACCAAATACAGTATCTGTAATAAATGTCAATGTCCAACCTCCATTAGTTACAACTCTATATATTAAGAGGCATATACATACATGTATTGTCAGTATGTTACGCCACGGACTTTATTGCACGGATTTATTATTTATAACTAAGATGCGTGGTTACGCATATAGTTAAACTTTATCTATTATCGTAAACTATGGTAGCTGATTTACACCATTTCGTGGTTTCGCATTTACTCACAAGCACTAGTCACGTAATCAAATATTTTACATAATCTTTATAATCATATATAGGCCGATCATTTAAAGTATTTGGTTATGTGACTAGCGCCTGTGCATTTACTCTAACTTAAACACAGACATAATATATTTTCGCCTTTCGCATATTTCATTTCTTGTGTGTGTTTTTTTTTTTTTTTTTTTTTTTTTTTTTTTTTTTTTTTTTTATCACTTATATAATAAGTATTCTGAAAATAAAAACGTTCGCATCAATTGATTGTTGTTAAATGTAAAAGTGTAACGCGCTTGTACAACCGGAACGTGAAAAAATTAAAATTAGCAAAAATACAAAGATGTACAATTATTCGAAATTGCAGGGGGGTGGGGGGAACAAAGCCGCGAATACGCAAAGGAAGGACTTCCTGTTATCGTATATTCGTCCCGAAAAATCAAAATCACAACAAATGTAATGCGAAAACACGACCCATTTTACGCGTCGATCTTCTTATGTAGTACTTTTGCAATTTTGCGAAAACACGACAATGATTCTTCGATGGCATTTTCGTTCTCCGTGGCAAAAAAGCAAAAACATGACGGCAATCAGCTGAATAGAAGATTTTTATAACAGAAATTGGGCAAATGTAATGCGTAATAAATAAGAATGCAATCAACACTTATGGATTGTATCATTCAGAAATGAATATATATTATCAAGATAAATATACTTCACGCGGATATTCCCATTGTACGCATCACTCTTTTTAATAGCTGCATGCCTTTTCAAACATGACCTAATTAACATCAAAATTTTAAGATTTGTGGAAACATGGCCGAGTGGTCAAGGCGTCGGACTTAGAGATCTAATGATTGCTAGCCGCATGGGTTCAAAACCCGTCAGGGGCAAGCCGTTGTTTCCTTGAGATTGGTTCCAGGGACGGATTCAAAAGTATGTCTATAA